GGATCAGCGGTTAAATCCGACTGGTTTCTGGAGTCTGTGACAAGGCTTTGTTTTCTCTCTCTCTCTCTCTCTCTCTCTCTCTCGGCTGCCCCTGCCTCCCTCTGGTGTGTCTGTGCCATTCTGCCTTAGTCGATCTTTCCCCTGAAGTCTGCAGTCCGGAGTTCTCCGGTGATCAGCACGATCGACTGGAAAAGCTGCCGGTTTGCTGGTCTCTGAGTTTTAACTCGGAGTCCGTGTGGTTCTCCCTCCTTCAGCCCTCCTGCTCGTCCTCCGAGGAGTCCTTCTCAATCTTGAGTTTCTGTGGTTTCAGTCGGAGAGGTCAGCGCTTCGCAAGGGCGGCCACAGAGCCTCCTCCTCTGTTCTCTCCCCGATCCGAGACAATTTCACTCAGTTTCTGAAAGTGTTGACTCTTATAGTCACATCACCTTTTGACGGTTACCTTCCTTCAGATCTGCTCATCTTAACCTGCACCTGGTGTTCATTATATCGTTGCCCCTCAGTGATGAGTTCTCACACATTCCTTCGCCCCTCGTGACTTCTTCTCCTGGCTCTTAATCTCCTTGTCCCAGTCTCGCTGTCCTGGCCTTGAAACTGTTTTCTGACATTCTGGAAAATGTCACTTGCTCTAACTTCTTTGAGAGCTCTAAACCAGTTTGTACCAGCCTGCTGACCGCTAGGTTAAATTTACTGCTGACTTCAGGGGTTTCATAGGTCATTCAATTGCCCATTTTCCTTATTAAACAACACTGAGTACATTACCCATAATCATATGAATCAACACTTATAGTCATGATCATACATAACATAATCCTCCATAACTAATCATTATTTACAAGCCTGTGTCTCTCCCGCACCAGGCTCCGTGACACAATCACCCCGTCCTCTCCCAACTCCACTGGCTTCCCATCACACAGAGGATACATAACATAACATGTAGGAGCAGAGTAGGCCATTCGGCCCTTCGAGCCTCTGCCCCGCCATTCAACCATGGCTGATCTTCTAATCTAACTCCAGCTAATAACCTGACGCTGCCTTATCCCCATATCCCTTAATCCCTTTTGCTATACAGTTCAAGATCCTGATCCTCACCTTCAAAGTCCTCCATGGCCTTATTCCCACCTACCCTCTGGAACTCCATCCCTCAGTCCCTCTGGCTCACCCCTTTCCCTGCCTTTTTCAAGATCCATCTCAAAATCCTCCTCTTCAACCGTGCCTTCGATCGCCTTCCATCCCCCCCTGCCCTCCACCCTCCCCGATAGTGACCCCCAGCTCGGATCCGAAACACTGATAGTCCAGTGCCTTGGGACGTTCTTCCAATGTGAAAGGTGCTATACACATGTCATTTTGTTGTTGTTGTATTAACATTTCACTTCAGTGCCTAATAAATTTTATTAAACTATGCTCACATATTATCAAGCTCTACTATGGTGCGTCATGGTTCTCAGCCACAGTCGGATAAATAGGTTCTCTGACCTGGCCTGGCTCTCTGCATGTAGAAGTTAGAATTTTGGGATATGTGAAGTTCGAATAAATTGTGACCCTCCGATGAAGTATGAACTGACACAGATTTCGTTTGAAGTAATAAAATTTAACTTTGATGAAATGTAGTAAAAGATTATACATTTCATCAAATCAAAATAATGCTTATGACGGGTTAGTAAAGTTCACTGCAATGGGTGATTGGATCATACAGTGGCTTTGATGGAGGAATCGACTTGTTAATGTGCGTCGATCCATATTGATTGTAGTACATTCCTCTTTCTTTGAGACTGGTTGCAGTTAGCTGGTCCTTTCCCAAAACTCACCTCTTCTCCTTTTACCCCAAAATTTCTGGTTCTTTATACCTTTTTGGTCTGTTCAACGTGTTGTTAAAAACACCAGCTGTAAAACCAAGGACAAACTTCATCTGCCATTATCATTGCATCCATGCAGTTGCGTCATATATGCATCAGCTTTTATGAAGTAACCAGGTCCATGAGTCTTTGCAGATTTCTCTGGTCAACTTAAGAGAACTCAAAATTCTGGGATTGCTTACAGGTATAAAAGATGTAAAAGAAGCAGTTTTAGTCAGAGTCAGTGAGATGCAGAGCTGCCTGCTCCTCTCCCTGGGATAGGTAACTGATCATTACCCATCACTGGCTACCATTATCTTGTCCAGTGGTTCAATGCTCTCTGTATAACTGTTGAACTGTAATAAAGCAAACAATTGTTTTAAAATTCAAATTCCACTCATTATTTCACTCGTTAATTAAATCATAAGGAATTTTCCTTTCAGGTTTGACACTTACTGTGTTCAAACACTGCGTCCGGGATCTCATTCACTCAGCCTCCCCTCAACTCTGATTGATTTATATCTGTTACTCATTTTCTATCAATTACCCAATTCACATTTATGTAGGAAAGCGTGGGTCCCTCCTGAGAAAATAAAACTGGGACAGTAGTTTTAACAAAACAAGAAAGGTTTATTTTTAACAAGGAATCTCTACCTCTGTACTCTGTACTCTGTACTCAAGGCAATTCGCTCCGCGGCCACTTCCCCTCCAACATCCACCAACCCCCCACCCCCTCACGCCCACACTCCGACTGCTATCCATCCTCCCCAACTCACTTTTGTACCCGTTTCCCCACCCTCTGTCACCAAACTCATCCTATCCCTGAAACCAACCACCTGCTCCCTTGACCCCATCCCCACTCCACTCCTTATCTCCCAGCTCCACTTTCTTGCCCCACATATCACCGACATTGTCAACCTGTCTCTCTCCTCTGGCTCTGTCCCCATTCCCTTAAAAACTGCCATCATCACGCCCACCCTGAAAAAACCCTCCCTTGATGCGTCGCAGCTATCAAGCTACCGGCCCATCTCCAACCTCCCCTTTCTCTCCAAGGTCCTGGAAAGAGTTGTCGCCTCCCAACTGCGCTCTTTCCTTTCCACCCATTCACTTTTCGAACCCCTTCAGTCAGGTTTCCGTGCTGCCCATAGCACAGAAACTGCCCTGGTCAAGGTCACCAATGATATCCTGACCATCTGTGACCAGGGCTCCCTCTGCCTCCTCGTCCTCCTCGACCTATCGGCAGCATTCGATACGGTCGACCACGCTATCCTACTCCACCGCTTGTCCTCCCACCTCAACCTTCAAGGCACTGTCCTTGAGTGGTTTAGGTCGTACCTTTCTCACCGTCTTCACTTTGTCTCGACAAATGGCTTCTCCTCCACCCCCCGCACTGTCTCATGTGGTGTCCCTCAGGGCTCTGTCCTCGGTCCCCTCCTCTTCACCCTCTATATGCTCCCCCTGTGGTGACATCATCCGCAGACATGGAGTTAACTTCCACATGTATGCGGATGACACCCAACTCTACCTTTCCTCCTCTACTCTCAACTCCACGACCCCCGATGTCCTGACAGCTGCCTGTCCGACATCGAGTCCTGGACGAGAGACAACTTTCTTCAGCTCAACGTGCGAAAAACCGAGGCCCTCCTGATTGGCTCACGTCAGCGCCTCCGCACCTCAGGCGCTGACACCATCAGCATCCAAGGCTGCACTCTCCACCTCTCAAAGCCAGTCAGGAACCTCGGCGTTTTGTTCGACCCTGAGCTGTCCTTTCTCCCTCATATCTGCGCCACAACTGGCACCGCCTTCCATCACCTCCGGAACATCGCCAGACTACGGCACTACCTCACCCCTCACGCTGCTGAAACCCTGGTTCACGCCTTTGTCACCTCAAGGCTGGACTATGGGAACTCTCTCCTCGCCGGCCTTCCCGCCACCTCCCTCCACACTGCAGGTCATTCAGAACTCTGCAGCTCGTGTACTGTCCCGCACCAGACACCGCGACCACATCACTCCCACCCTCACCCTCGCTCGCCTCCACTGGCTCCCCATCCCCCAGAGGATTGATTTCAAGATCCTCATCCTCACCTACAAGGCCATTCACGGCCTCGCTCCCTCCTACCTCTCCAACCTACTATCCCCCTACCTACCTGCCCGTACCCTCCGTTCCTCTGGCTCCGGTCTGCTCCACGTCCCCCGCCCCAACCGCCCTACCATCGGTGGTCGGGCCTTCAGCCTCTCAGCCCCCAGGCTCTGGAACTCCATCCCCCAGTGCCTTCGCCGCTTCCTCCCTCTCCTCCTTCAAGGCCGGTCTCAAAACCTTTCTCTTTGACTGAGCCTTCAGCTCCCCTCTCGACTCTCTTCCCCCTCCTCGCTCCCTCCCTTCCCTCCCCTCTCCCTGACCATTTCCCCCCTCCTCGCTCCCTCCCTTCCCTCCCCTCACCCTGACCATTTCCCCCCTGCTCGGGTCATGACCCAACTGTGCAGCGCCTTGGGACGTCCTCCTGACATAAAAGGCGCTTTATAAATGGAATCTTGTTGTTGTTGTTGTTGTACTCCACCTTCTCCAGACTCTCCTCTCACATTTCCAAGCCCCCAGCCTCATACTGGGGCTCAGTTATTCCTTGGTGCCCAATTATAATAATAATAATAATAATAATCCTTGCATTTGATATAGCGCTTTTCACGTCGGGAGGACGTCCCAAAGCGCTTCACAGAACACACTGTAAAGTGAATTGACTGTATATTTGTGGGCAAACGCGGCAGCCAATTGCGCACAGCAATGTCCCACAAACAGTCGTAGATTGAAAATGACCAATTTATTATTGTTTTTGGTTTTGAAGGGATTATTATTAGGCTCTGTGTGGAGTAAGGAAACTTGCCCAAGGTTTGGCCCTCTGCCTGGGATTGAACTCAGGTCTCTCACTTGCAAAGCGAGTGCTCTAACACTGAGCTACAGGACTCCATTATCACAACCTGTTAGCTCACTATAGATGCAGGTTAATTAACAATAATGATAAAGGACAGTGACGGGGTGTATTCTCCTATTACAATCGATTACTCATTTTCATACAGCAAACAGCAAGTAAAAAAATATTTAACTTGCCATGAGATCACTTTACACTATGAAAGACTCCACCCACAGCTGCCAAACTGAGTTATGCAAAATTTTCGGTTTGATATTAACAGTAGGTAACAGTCCTAATCAAGACTTTTCCTGCCAAACCGCCATAGAGTTGACAGAGCTGCAAACTGCTGTGGGCAATTCAATATAGGGCTGTGAGAAACAAGCCACAGACGGAGAGAGAGCGAGAGGAGCCTATATCAGGAATTGAAGGTAGGATTATTTGTTTCATATTGTAATAATAATAATCCTTGCATTTGATATAGCGTTTTATTTATCCAGACGTCTCAAAGCTCTTCACAGAAATATTGTAAAGTGAATTGACTGTGTACTTTGTGGGCGACACGTGGCAGCCAATTGCGCACAGCAATGTCCCATAAACAGTCGTGGGTTGAGTGAGGGACCAAATTTTGTTTTTCAATTTTTTTTAAGTGATTATTTTCCCTGGTAAAGCGATCTGCCAATCAACTAACAACCGGGTTCATACTCTCTGCTGGGTGACCAAAGGCATGGGAGTAAGGAAACTTGCCAAACGTTTCGCCCTGCCCAGCAATCAATCCCAAAGCCTCTCGCTTGTGAAGCGAGTACTCCAACCACTAAGCTACAGGACTCCAGGACTTTATAGTATATCCTATGAAGCACTTTAAGTAGGAATCGGTGATTAGTCGATTGGCGGATTGCTTTCCGGGGTTAATAACCCTATTAATATTAACCTGCTATTCATTGGTCATGATAGATATTGGTCTTCACATGCATGTAGCTTGTAGTTTTAAACGGGCAAAATCATTTCCACCAGGAAACTCTTTTGGAAGCATATCTTTACAAGAATCCTGCTTTGGCTGCACAGTTTGGAAACACAGAGTTAGGGAACAAACACAAGGAAACCTCTGGGTATAATGCGTCAATTCCGTGCGTGTTGGTCTTGTGGAGGACTTGCTGCAATCTTTCTTGTTGCACAAATCCTGTTTATTCTGTACTGGCACCAAAGAGAAGCAAAACAAACCTGGCATGCTGTTCAGATAAGTCATCGGTCCAGCTCTCGTGAGAAAGTCCGTTTTACAGATAAACCCGCTACCTTGTTAGAGATCCAAATGCAGCGGAAACAGAAGCTTCTTGCTGCTTGCGCAGATCCCAACTTTACCTTCCCGGGAAAAAATTGGGATTACGATGAAATTCCGAAGAGAGAGTTTGGTAGCTTCATTGCGATTGACAATGTTAAACTGGTGTATTGCGCTGTACCCAAAGTTGCCTGCAGCAACTGGAAGCGGGTCCTGGCGATTGTCAGCAACAGCACCGTGTACAAAGACTTGGCACACCTTCCACCTGGCATCGAACATGGCCTCTTTGACAAATGGAAGAGCGATAAAGATCTCAAAACGTTTGTGCAGCTTCGCCTGGATACTCACAAGACCTTTATTTTTGTCCGTCATCCCTTTGTGCGGCTCATTTCCTTGTTCCGAAATAAGTTTGAGTCACCAAACTCGTATGTCTTCCATCATGTTGCCAGAATGCTCAGGTTGTATGGCAATGTCTCCAACATCCCCGAAAACAGTAAGAAACTGTTTGAGATGGGAATCAAACCGACTTTCACCCACTTCATTCAGTATCTTTTGGACCCAAAAAATGAGAAAGGATTTTTTAATATCCACTGGCGCCAGGTCTATCAAATCTGCCACCCCTGCCAGATAGACTATGACTTCATTGGGAAAATTGAGACCATGGACAAGGACATCACGTATTTAATGAACCTTCTCAACCTCAAGGTTGCTTTTCAGTTTCCGTCAAAATATCAGAGTGCGACAACCAATAACCTCTTAAGGAAATATTTCGGAGACGTTCCGATCAATCTGATCGAAAAGCTCTATAAACTGTACGAACCTGACTTTGTGCTTTTCGGCTACTCCAGACCGCAATTTCTGTACGACGAAGCAAAGTAGCAAAACAAACCTGTATCCGTAATCATTGATGGCTTTGACACTAAGATCTATTTCATTTCACTGTACTCACTCCCTTTGTCGGTTCAGAATTGTAGCTTTGTTAACCCTTGTATTGCTGGCCTGTGTATTCCAGTCTCCCTGAGCTGATCAATTTACTGCTGCTTTAATGTGATTCTGAAATATGTTACATTGCTAAATCTCCTCCAATTCTACAAAAGCTTTAGTGTGGCAGTTTCATTAAAATAAATGAAATAAACGACAACAACAAATTGCATTTACACAGCGCCTTTCACGTCAGGAGGGACATCCCAAGGCGCTGGACACTGAAGGGTTTGGACCCGAGCTGGGGGGGGTCAGAGTCAAGAGGGGTGAAGGGCAAGGGGGGTGCGGGTGGGAAGATAACCACACGGTCAAAGAGGAAGATCTTGAGATGGATCTTAAAAGAGGCAAGGGAGGGGGTGAGGCAGAGGGGCTCCGGGATGGACGAGGCTTGATCTCCGATGGTGGACCGGACATGGAGTTGGTCATCACCTGCCCAGCAGAGGAAGTGAACAGGTATGTAACATCTTGAACTCAATCCTCTGAGGGATGTGTTCGCCTGCAAATGCACAGTCACTGCGCTTCACACTAAATTCCTGCAAGGCACTTTGAGACATTTCGACAACATGATATGAATTGCAGAGATTATTTTATACTTATTGTATTCCACACAAAGTCAGCACAACATTGATAACATTTTCACAGTAAAAGGTAAAACTTTCCACACTTTAAATTATATTTTGCACAGAACTTTTCAATCTGCATTATAGACAGAAAGGAAGAATTATCGTTCTCAGAGTCACGGTATATCTTAAGATCCTGCACTGAAAACATATGCATTTACCTTGTAAATAAGCACCGAAACATGGGGAAATGACATAAATGAGGGAGAGTAAAAATCACATTTACGCAAGTAAGTTATTTGACTGATAAAATGATACAGCGATTTTTGGGGGAAGCTACAAATATGAAAATACTCACTAAGATTTTTTTTCAGTTGGAAAGAAGAAAGAGTTGCATTTTGTTAAGCACTCGTAAGGTTAACGTCAGACCAAATCCGACCGTCACAATATTTTCTGTCACCTACACTGACTGCAAACGAGGCAACAATTTTGCACACATCAAAACAGTTCTGAGACCAATGACTGATTAAGCGGGAGGAATTTGGGGTCAGAAAAGACATTAGAAGTGGTATTAATACCCGATATATCATAGCCTAACACTAATTATATAATTTCCTAACATGCATATAATATTATACATTTAATAGAATAGTGGACAACATTTTTTATGCATTACTGCAGCCAAAAAGGATCCACCTGCACTGCCCACTTTAGAGTAATTTGAAATACATTGTGGAATGCCCGTCTTGTTTGCCCGTCAACTATCCTTTCTATCCACATCCGTGCCATGACCTGCTCTGCCTTCCCCCACCTCCGCAACATTGCCCAGCTCCGCCGCAGTTTCACACCACAGGCCACCGAAACCCTCATACACGCATTCATAACACACAAGCTTGACAGTGCAAACTCCTTGCTTGTCGGTCTCCCCAACATCTCCCTCCAAAGGCTGCAGATCATCCAGAACTCTGCAGCCCATGTCCTCTCCCACACCAGGCTCCGTGACCCAATCACCCCCATCCTTGCCCGACTCCACTGGCTTCCCATCACACAGAGGATACAGTGCAAGATCCTAGTCCTCAACTTCAAAGCCCTCCATGTCCTTGCTCCCGCCTACCTCTGTGACTTCCTAACCCCTTACCATCCTGCCTGCTCCCTCCACTCAGCAGGGCGCTATATAAATCCAAGTTGGTGTTCATGTTGACAATAAAGATCCCATGACAGTATTTCAAAAAGAGAAGGGAATGTCTCTCTCCCAGTCTCCCTGTCCTGTCCAACAAACCCTCAGATAAAGTTGGCCATTCACTACTTAGCTGTTTGCAGGACTGCACTATGCACAAATTCTCTACAAATACTCGGTCGCTTCACTTCACGGAAACTGTGAACCTCTTTGAGATGCCTAGGCGCGATACCAAATGCAAGGATTATTTTTCATGTCCGACATAAAGCTGCACAGTTACTTTGCTGATTCACACATGTCAGTCAGTCTGCCAAGCAACTAAGTTCAGCACAAGTGAATTTGAGCATGCACTGAAGAACCAAAACATGGCAAAATTTCTATCAACTTAGCAAGCACAACACCTGCTTCGTTCTTTATTAACACTTCTGCTGGGAGCAGGCTTCAGATGTTACATTGGGATCGGTGTCATTTTGCAGCACCTTGGGGATATTTAGTGGTTAGGAGTGCTGTGGCGAGTGATGTCCCATTTCAGCGCCTTGGGACGTCCTCCTGACGTGAAAGGCGCTTTATAAATGTAATCTTGTTGTTGTTGTTGTTGTTGTTGTAACAGCACCCAGTTCTTTAAGAACTCCAGGAAACAGGCTTCAAAGTAAAAGTTTCCTACCTACCTGTCAAATGATCCCCACCCTCCAAGATAAAATAAGGCAATCATTCACATCAAGGCTGTTTGTGGGGCATCCCACAAACTGGCAGCTTCATTTGCCTACATAATACATGGTCACAGAAATTGTGTAATGCTGAGACTCTTATATCAGATTATTGTCAATATATCAGATTATTGTTAGAAATTATGGTTGGCAAAGATGCAGATCTATTGTTTCACTATTTTTCTATTTTCTTAAGCAATAGATTGTGTACTGTGTAACTTTCTGCCTCTTGACCTGTGTCAAGTCCTTTCATTCCCGAGCGCACCCTTTTTTTGGAGGGGAGGTGGAGGGAGGGTCCATTTTCCTCATCTCCCTTTCTGTGACCTTGGCACACGGTTGGATTCCCATGAAAGAACAATTAAAAATTACTCATTATTTGCTGGATCACACTGACCTACACAGTCTCTCTTTTGAGTTACTTTCCGAAGCTAAACCAATGACGACCAACTAGCAGCATGGGAAAAATGGGAGGTGACGATGTCTGTCATCTTGAATTTCTTTTCTTTTAAGTTTAGGGTGTCCTTTTGATTTTAAATTCTCCTCTCTGCTTTGCTCTCTGCTCCTGATCCCCAGCTTTCTCGTCTTGGGGTGCTATTGCACGGACGTTGGTTGCACCCTGGACCCCTCTGCCCTCCCTCCCCCAGCCATTGTTCATGAGCAAACCATGCCAGTGAATGTCGGCAGGTCAATGGACTGTAGCAGGTGCCATAAGAAAGCCTGACCTCTCCACACGTTCAGTTGCTCAAGCGGTCCATGGAGCAAGAACCCTGGCTGGTTTTCTCCTGCCTAACCTTGGGAAGACTAGGTTCAAATTAGCTTCCCACGTCGCCTGGCTGAAACCAATAAACCCAAAACTCGGCTTGTGGTATAAATTTAGACAATGACAATAATAATCCTTGCAGTAGTTTTCACATTGATATATTTGAGCTAAACAAGCGAAGGGTTTAAAGTCTGGTGTCAAGGGACCCAAGTCATCCTAACTCCCATTAATCTAATTGGCTGTGTATCAGTTTCATCCCCAATTAGATAATCAGGCTGTCAATCTCATAAAGGTCATAAAGGATTGAGTCACTTAAAAGAACCTTTGGGACAGGGTTGCCACACTTGCATAAATAATATCTTGCAGTGGACATTATATTGTTCACCTACGTATATACAGTCATGACACTCTAGAGTATATATTGTGAAGCACTTTGAGAAATCCTTTTGATGTCAAAGGCGCTATATCAAATGCAAGGATTATTATTATTATTATTATTATTATTATTAGTAGAGCATGTTCCAGCAAATGCTTGTAAACTGGGGCAGTAATAATTAAACTGAATAGAACATAAGATAAATAGCTGGCAAATATAATAAGCTTCAGAATCCATAAAAGACTTAAAGATGTTTGCTTTATGACTTGTTAAAATTAGAAAATGTATCTCATAGTTTGTGAATTTCTTAAGGAGTGTCACACGATGTGAGGAAAGATGACCTTCACAATTTGGCTTAATGTAGAATTGGTGGAACTGTAACTTGACACTACTGTGCGCAATTGGCTGCCCACAAAACATACAGCCAATTCACGTTACAGTATATTCTGTGAAGCGCTTTAAGCCGTCTCGAAGACATGATAAGGCGCTATTATCAAATGCAAGGATTATATTATTATTATTAACTGTATCTTGACTCATACGGAACTTTTCAACTGACTGCGCAGTTGAAAGAGAGGAGAAACAGTGTGAGCGAGAGAGAACAAGGAAGTGAGAGGAAAGAGGGAAACTAAAAGAAGAAAGAAAAGAGTTGATGATGAAATCCATCAGCTAAGACATACAGGAGAGGGACCAGCAAAGTGGATTAATGGAAATAAAGGCATCAAATCTACAAGGCTTTGACGAGAGCGAGCAGTGGAGAGACAGGGTGCTATTGTTCTTCCTCTGCACCCTGATGCTCTGAGATTCCAGCAGCAACGATTGCAAAGAAGATCTCAGGAAGGAATGTCCTCAAGTAGATGAATGCCTTTGGCACAGGGTTTCCAATCACCACCTCCTTACTCCCCCTGTTCACTGTGTAGAGCACTTCCTCAGCCACTTCTACTGGGTGGACACCATACACCAACTTCCTGAAAAAGACTGAATGGCACAAGACTGTGAAACAACAACAACAATTTGCATTCAAATAACGCCTTTCACGCGGGGCAGCATCTCTAAGCGCTTAAGAACAACAACAACAAATTACATTTACCCATCGCTTTTTGTGTCGGGAGAATGCCCCAAGGCACTGGACAGTCAGGGATTTGCACCCAAGCTGGGGGTTGGGATCAGAAGGGGTGGAGCGCAGGGAAGATAGAGGTACAAGGGTGGCCGAAGGCGCGGTCGAAGAAGAGGGTCTTGAGGCATGCCTTGAAGGGGGCAAGGGAGGGAGCGAGACGAAGGGACTGTGGGATGGTGTTCCAAAGAGTGGGACAGAGAAGAGGACGAGAAGACCGTAAGGTGAGGTGACCATAAGCATGGTCGAAGAAGAAGGTCAACACGTATTTTGTAGCGTTGCTTACATTTCCAAATGGATGCCTCCCAATTCCCAGTGTCCGGCATTTGGTGATAAGCGCGGATGAACGTGGGGCTCACGGTGCTCACGGTGATGCCAAACTCTGCCACCTCCGCTCGCAGACAGTCAAAGAAGGCTTGTACGGCGTGTTTAGAAGCAGCATCTACAAGGTACAAAGAAACATTCGGTGAAAAAAGTCATCCATACTGCAGAGCGTTACACATTTCTGCGTTGCTTTGTTTGCCGCCAATAGGGACATTGTTTTTTTTTGGTGGGTTGTTGTGCTTGGACAAGGTAAAGGATGCCTTTTACTGGGTATAATAATGATGGGCGAGACGAAACGTTGGGCAAGTTTCCTTACTCCACACACACGTCTCTGGTTACCTAGCAGTAAGTAGGAACCCGGTTTTTAGTCAATTCCTTGAACATATTCAAGACTGAGATTGATAGATTTCTTGTAGATAAAGGGATTAAGGGTAGAATAGATCAGCCATGATCGTATTGAATGGCGGGGCAGGCTCGAGGGGCTGAATGGCCTACTCCTGCTCCTAATTCCTATGTTCTTAATTGGCGGATCACTAGAATATAATAATTTTTGCATTTGATGTAGTGCTTTTCACATCTGGAGCACATCTTGAAGCACATCAAAGGATTATAATCATTATAATAATCGTTGCATTTAATGTAGCGCCCTATCATGCCATTGAGGCGGCTCAAAGCGCTTCATAGGATTTCACAGTGAAGTGTAGTGGCTGTGTATTTGTAGGCGAACCCAACAGCCAAGTTGTACACAGTGTATGGATTTACTGTAAAGTGTAGTGACTGGGTCTTTTGTAGGCAAAAGCATGGAACATGAAGAATAGCCACTTAGATGAGGTAGCGGAGGGCAGCTGACACCCAATGGAATATCCCAGGCTAGGACAGCATTTAGGAAAGGAAGTGAGAGTATGGGGAGGGGGGGAAAAATACTGGATCCGTATAAAACTCACAGGCAGCACGGAACGGGAGCCCGAGTTTTCCCTGAATACTATTCACCAACACGATCTGACCTGTGTGTCTGGATATCATGGAGGGAAGAAGCTCTGTGAAGGAAAACAAAGATGTCAAAAAACGTCAGTTCCCAGGAACCTTTATTGGCGGATCGCTTTTCCAGGGGTAATAATCCCCTAAAAAATGTTAAATAATAATAATAATCTGGTTACTCAATCCACAACTGTTTGCGGGACACTGCTGTGCGCAATTGACTGCCATGTTGTGCCCACAAAATATAGTCAATTCACTTTACAGTATATTCTGTGAAGCGCTTTGAGATGTCTCAACGACATAAGGCGCTATATCAAATGCAAGGATTATTATTATTATTCAGCAACCACCTGCTGTCAACAACCACCCTGGAACAGTCCGTAATGATTTTCCATAGTAAACTGCTTCTATTTAGCAACCACTTGTCTATTGGAATCAGTGACCAATCTTTTTCAGTCCTGTCAGATGCAGACACCCTTTTCGGTAGCCAGATCCGCTCTAGCGGGAGTCCACACGTGGGCCCAAGGAAATGTTTGGCAAGCGGAAATAGTAATGGTGTGTATTTTGTCATTGATTTATTAGTTTATTAAAACCAGTTTGATTTATGAGTTCATATGTGCACTGCATTTTTGCTTATCCTTAGAAATTCCTCACACATCAACAAACCCTTACTCAAAGGCCTCCGTTATATAAAGCCCACTGGTCCGGGCGTCCTTGAGTGGTTGCTGAAAACAGGTTTGAGGGAATTTATAATCTCAGAAGAAAATGTAACCATGCATCAGTGATGTCAGCAAGTTTCGGCCAAGTTGTTATTGGTTACCTTTGGTCAAGGTAATTGGTCCAAAGTAGTTTGCGTCCATTATCTTTCTGTCCATTTCGAAAGGAACATTGAGGGCTCCTCCTTTGATTTTCACACTGCTGTTGTTAATCAGCACATCCACGCACCCAAAGCTCTCGAGGATTTCCTTAGCCATCTTGGGAATGGTTTCCGTTTCACTCATATCCATGTGCACCAGTTTTGGCGTGAAAGTCTGTAAACAAACAAGTTCCGATGATTTCTGACTGCAATAATGACATGTCTCAGATCACAAGAGTGGCCCTATCTCTTCTCTCAGGTCAAAATTAATTAAATGCAAAAAATGTTGTAAAATCTATGTTATTTTCCATTAGTTACAAGGGACTTATGTTTTCTAGGAAATGATTATTGTGGTCAGCTGCAAATTGTTAGCAATGATTATATTTCATATAAAATATATAATCAGCTTTCTTTCTTCTTCGCCCTATTGAGCAGTGGAGACAATTATGTTTCAATCCCTCGTACATGGTTTTAGAGTTGAGAGGACGGCACGTTTCCAATAGACTCACCTGGCTGGGGTCAGCCACGTCATTCAAGGCTTCTTGTAGAGCTTCTAACTTTTCCCAGTCATTTCCACACAGAACTACCCGTCCTCCGCCACTGTGAAACACTCTGGAACACTCTGTGAAGCACAGAATTAAACTGGTAACGTCAGTCAATGCCAGAGGCAGTGCAGCCTAGATTTACGAGGAAGTTACCAGGGTTGAGAGGACAGATCAGGATGCAGAAGGTTGGACAGATTAGAGATGTTTTTGCCCAGAGATGATACATTTGAGAGGGAACCCGATAAGAGGTGTTTAAAATTATGAGAGGGTTTGATAACTTAAATATAAGATAGATTGTGTTCCACTTGATAGCGGTGTCCCAATGTGAAAGGTGAATACCAAATGCTAGAATTATTATTAGGATGACTGATCCCTCTCCCTCCTGTATACAGCTAACTGATAATATAGAGTGTCTTTCCATCAGAATACATTGGGACATGTCAAATGATTTGGCCGTTAAGTTATTTACCCATTTTTGGGGACTTGAGACCGAGTGTGTAGAGAGTCTTTGTGTTTTTGTTGTGGAAACACAATTGCACTCGGGTGACACTTTAAGGGTTAAACTGAACGTTACAGCGAAACGAAAGGTTAATTGCTCAGCATAGGAGAAAGGCAGAGAGCTACTAAATATAGGATTTAGAAGAGCTCTGAAGGCATTTTGACCACTCTATATGTAGCTTTAAGCCGTTTATGCTGTTAAAAGGTTACGTAAATAGCTTTGACATCAGCTGGCAGTGATGGTAGCCATATCACTTGCGTGGAGTTAATCCTACAGTTTGATGGTGACGCTTGCAGTAACGTTCCATGAAACCGTACAGATAATGGACATGAAAACTATTTAATTCATGCCTTTTTTTTCTGGAATATACAACACTGGGCCAAATTGCCACTGTATCCCAGTGTTCGAGCTCCAAAGACACATCTATAAATACAGGAATGGGACAGAGAAAGCAAACCCTGAAGAATACTTTCAGACATGCAAAGGCAGCAGGACAAGAGGTCACAGGCTCAGGGCTGTGAAGGACATGTTTAGGGCAGACACTACAAAGTTTTTTTTTTGAACAGAGCACTATGGACATGGAACAGGTTAGAAGATCAGGGGCTCGTTTTTTTTTTTAAAAATGCTTGATGCTTAAAGCAAGTTCATTCTTTAATTTTCTCTGTTTCAGTGAAAACAGACCCAATTTTCAACCCAACATTTGCAACCGTAGCCTCTCCTCCCTGGTTTGATCCATGTGAACCATTGGTGTTCTTTATGTAATAGGGCACCCAGAACTTTATGCGGTGCTCCATCAAACTCTCAGTACTGAGTTTATGACAATAAAGTACTTCAATCTTTAATCTTAAAGTTAGACTAATATAATAACCCATGAATTTGCACCTTGTCAAGTCATTGAGACATCTCAAAGTGTTTCACAGGATTTTATTGTGAAATAAACATGGCAGCCAATTTACATACAGCGAAGTCCCACATTGCTGGAATCATTAACATCCACCTGAACAGGTAGTCAGCGCTTAAGTATAATGGCTCTTTCGAAAGAGAGCATTTCCGACAATGCAGTGCGCCCTCAACATTGTGTGGGGATGTTAGCCTAAACTGGGAGGTCCAGGTCCCGACATTGGACTTGAACCCACAACTTTCTGACTCAGACACTGTTAGATGGATCAGTCTGATCGTCTAGCCTTGAAAAGCAATATCTTAGAGAGGTATATAAATGGGCTTGAGCACCGAATAATACTTTCAGATACACCAAGACAACAGAAAAAAGAAGGTAATTTCAGAATGAACAACACACAGAAGGTAATTAATGATTGGAATGGAAGACAAGGGTGGTTGAGGCCAGGCTGCATATAAGAAACAGCTTGAACTGTAATGGGAGAATGGGAGTTAAAATGAAATTAAATCATTCAAACATCTCTCTTGATTAATTCATTCTAAAATATATAGTCAAATATCGTCAGGGTGCGATCTGCTATTAAACTGGACTTGTTAATAGCAGCTTAATTACTGGATAACAATAATAATAATCCTTGCATTTGATATAGCGCTTTTCACGTCGGGAGGGCGTCCCAAAGCGCTTCACAGAACACACTGTGGGCGAACGCGGCGGCCAATTGCGCACAGCAATGTCCCACAAACAGTCGTAGATTGAAAATGACCAATTTATTATTGTTTTTGGTTTTGGAGGGATTATAACAATAACAATGACAACTTAATGGTGGGGTTGGACACTGAGTGAGAGAGAGAGAGAGAGAGAGAGAGAAGGGGAGAGGAAGGTGACCAAAGGTGTAGTCGAAGAGGTAAGACTTCAAGAGGGATTTAAAGATAAAGAGGGGATGATAATGGTATTCTAGTCTCAAGCTTCCAGAAACACTTAAAAAGCAGAAAAGAACTAACTCACCTTTGCCAAGCCCTGATATGGCATCAGTTATAACCACCACTTTGTTCCTCACAGCTGACTTGGACATGAGTCGCATTATTTTTTTGTAAATATAAACGATCCCAGCAATTCCAACCACCAGTAAAGGGAGAATCAATATAGCCAGAATACCCATTTCCCTGGAATTAACAAAATAGTGTTAGCAACACGAGGCTAAGTTTGCTTATGAATTTTAAATCTCTGTACGTGTGGAATATGGTTAAGTTACAATAATAATAATCCTTGCACTTCAATATAGCGTGACCATTTTTACTGAAAAACTGCAGGGAGGAAAAGAGTGTGGGTTGTTTTCGTTTTTAAGAAAGCTGCTTTTCAACAATGTTGTTGTGACAAATTATTACACGTTAAGCTACTGCAGCCGTGCAAACTGCCGTGTTCACACATGTACCGAGCGTTGCTGGAATTCTATAATTTATTAAAAGTTTCACTTACAGTGAATGCGGGGGCCAAAGGTAAAAGATGGTCCTCTGTTGTCACAGGGGGAGGTAACAAATCAAGTGAGAAGCCTCTTTTCCGTCCACTTTCACTGCTGCTCTGCACAGCAACTGGTAAGTTAAGCACGAAAGGAGATCTTAGAAAGTTTTTTATAGCGAATGTCTGAGTCAGTCATTTCTACTGTAGCCTCTCTCAAATACCTTGGACTTGGTGATCCCTCAAACTGCCATGTGATCTATCTCATGTCATTCTAATAATACACAAGGCCACAAACAACTACAGTATATGTAACTTCTCAATCATAAAGCTTTGTGCAACGTGTCAACTGCACAATGATCTACATCACAGCCCTTAGCTGCACAGGATTTCCATTTGGGATGCCACAACTGTACCACTGTACATGTCATCTGGCCTCACTTCCCAACTCAAAGTCAGTGGAGATTAATTAACCATTAGGATGTAACAGCCTGATTGCTCCTACTTTGTATAATCGTAGGATCGGTGATACATTAATAATAATAATAATAATCCTTGCATTTGATACAGTGCCTTATCATGTCTCTGTGACGTCTCCACACGCTCCACGCAATATTCTGCAGAGTGAATTGACCTGCATAGTATTGATACGATATGCTTTCTGGCACCGATGCGAACATAACAGTCTTAATGTTAGAATAATACCAGTACAGTAAACCTCACATTGGTTGGTGATGGGAGCGTTACTGTTTATGGGAACCTGCGGGTGCGCAATTGGCTGCCGTGTTTCGCCCACAAAACATAACAGGTCGATCCACTTTGCAGCAATATCCTGCGAAGCGCTTTGAGCCTTTGCGTGATGTGGCGCTGTATCAAATGCAAGGATTATTATTATTATTATCATCGTTATTATTATTAACGTATCGCCGATCCCACGATTATACAAAGTAGGAGCGAGCAGTCCGTTACCTCCTAATGGTTAATTAGCATTATTATTGCTGTTATTATTATTAACTATTACTATTATTACTATTTTTATAGTAAAAGTGTCACCCAGGAAGGACCTGTGTGTTGGATACATTCCATTGAAGCCTCCTGTCTGTGGGCGGTCCCACCGGCCAAGGGAGGAACCTATCAGCGCTCAATGCCGCTGAGGTCCCGCCCCCCCACCTCCACAACCCCGCCCCCGTCCCTCCGGCTCCGCGGCGATTGGACGGAAGGCAGGGTGGGCGGGGAGGGAGGCTTGAGACCGCTTCTGATTGGTCGAGCGGGACGTCACTCAGCGGTGACGTAGGGGGGAGGAGAGTGAGAGGGGGGGGGGCGGGGCCCGGTTGCTCTGAGCGACGGGCGGCCATTGTGCAGCGGGGAGGTGGGGGGAGGGGGCGGGGCCCGGTTGCTCTGAGCGACGGGCGGCCATTGTGCGCGAGCGAGGCTGGAGTTGGCGGCCAACTGCCGTTCACTCTCCTCCCCTCAGACACACACAGACACACACACTGCCCACCCCCCCCCACCTCACCTCGTAGATCGTCGCCATTGTCACTCTCTTAAAGACCGACCCGAACCCCCCTCCTCCCCCCCCTCCCGCTAAAAAGATTGAAAACCGTCAGGAGGGGAAACTCGTTCGTCGACGAGTCCGTCGCCTCGCGCGGGCCATGTCGGACTTTGACGAGTTTGAGAAACAGCTGCACGAGAACCGGCAGGGTGAGTGTGTGAGGGAGGGGGTGAGTGTGTGAGGGAGGGGGTGAGGGAGGGGGTGAGGGAGGGGGTGAGTGTGTGAGGGAGGGGGTGAGGGAGGGGGTGAGTGTGTGAGGGAGGGGGTGAGGGAGGGTGAGTGTGTGAGGGAAGGTGAGTGTGTGAGGGAGGGGGTGAGGGAGGGGGTGAGTGTGTGAGGGAGGGGGTGAGGGGTGAGGGAGGGGGTGAGGGAGGGGGTGAGTGTGTGAGGGAGGGGGTGAGGGAGGGGGTGAGTGTGTGAGGGAGGGGGTGAGGGAGGGGGTGAGTGTGTGAGGGAGGGGTGAGTGAGGGGGTGAGTGTGTGAGGGAGGGGGGGAGGGGGTGAGGGAGGGGGTGAGTGTGTGAGGGAGTGGGAGGGGGTGAGTGTGTGAGGGAGGGAGGGGGTGGTCATGGTGTGGCCCGAGCTCTCTGTGGGAGGGGGTGTGTGAGGGGGTTGTTGTGTAGCCGCCGACAACCAGCCCCCCCCCACACAGGCCTCGGGCTTTAGGCTTTCAGCGCTCAACTGGGGCTGAGGCCGCGCGTGCGCACTCGCTGAGTGACAGGTGCTCACACACACTCACACCGACACTCACAGAGACACAGACACTCACACAGACACCCACAGAGACACCGACACTCACAGAGACACCGACACTCACAGAGACACCGACACTCACAGAGACACTCACAGAGACACTCACAGAGACACTCACTCACTCACTCACACAACAAATTAACCATAATAATACTGTGTTTATATAGCGCCTTAATAATAATAATAATAATAATCCTTGCATTTGATATAGCGCTTTTCACGTCGGGAGGACGTCCCAAAGCGCTTCACAGAACACACTGTAAAGTGAATTGACTGTATATTGTGGCCTTGGGAGGATGTCACCCATCCCTGTCCTTCCCACCATTTCTTCCCCCCCCGCACCCCTCCACAGGCACTGGACGGTCAAGGGTTTGCACCCGAGCTTGGGGGACTGGAGTGTTGTGAGTCAAGAGGGGTGGAGGGAGGGAGGATGGCTGAAGCAGTCAAAGAGGAAGGGCTTGATGGAGGCGAGGGTAGGGATGAGACAAGGCGGAGGGGCTCCAGGGTTGGAGTTCTAGATGGTGGGGGCAGAGAGGTTGAAGGCCCGACCGCCGATGGTGGAGCAGGCCGCCACCCAGTCCCCCCCGCCCCCGCTCTCCCTCTCTTGCCTTCTTCAAGACCCATCTCAAGACCCTCCTCTTCGACCGTGCCTGAGATCACCCTCCTTTCCACTCTCCCTGACCCCCATCTCAGGTCCAAAACACTGACTGTTCAGCGCCTAGAGACGTCCTCTGGACATGTAGTTTTATTATTGCTTGCTGAGCAGGGGCAGCGGGAAGGTGTTATTACGTTGCAGGGATAGAGAGGGGCAAGACTGGAGGGCTGTAAGAGTGAGGGTGAGGATCTTGAATTCTTAATTTTAGGTGTAAAATACCACACAAGTCTAGATTTACCCGACTTTCTTAGCATGTCATAAGCACCCCAAGAATTTGTCAAAGTTAAGGCTGAATTCAAACAATCTGCCAATTCCTGCACCCGACAAAAAGTGGCCAATTTGGTCATTCATTTATGCTTTGGTTGCTGTTTGACTTTTCTGTGTAGTTCTTCCAAGTTCCCTTGGATCGTTATTATTTCTTTCTCAGATGAACGTTACAGTACTTAGCAGGAGAGTTTGATAAGGTTAAGAATGAAGGAATCCAATAAACTTTATTTTTTTTACTTTTGATTTTTTAAAAAAATTCCAAGCAAGCAGTTGGAAAATGTACAGAGTCTACTTAGGGTGTTATATTGATGGGGGGAAAGTGAAAATGCTGGAGATTGTGGAAGATGAGGAAATTATCAACAATAGTGCACTTATGACTGTAGATCACCTACATTTTCTAGAACGGGAAAAAGAACGTCACAAGAAGCGAAGTAGAAGCGGATCGAGAAGTAGAAGCCGAGATAAGAAACGGAGAAGTCGTAGCCGTGACAAGAGGAGCCGGAGTCGAGGGGCAAGAAGCAGAAGTAGAGAAAAGCGGAGTAGCTCACGAGATCGGAAGCAGCGTCACAGGTAACTTGGCTTCTTCAAAACCATGTTTATGCTTGTTGGACTGTGTGACTCTTTGGAGCATTCTGCCAGTTCAGTTGCCAGGCGTGGAATAGTAATTATCAAGAAGGTGCTCATTAACTTCCCTTAAAAAGTCAGACATCTCAAGACTGGCTCCAAGTTCTATGCTTCTGAAGGAAAACTGATTGATGCCACTCTTTGTGTAGAGCCTTTTCAACCTCATAATGTTTTCTTAGTGCTATCCTACAATATGTATAATCTTAATCTCGCTCGCTCTGATGGATGTATCAGTAGAAAATTACTACAATTGCATTCATGAGGGAGAAGAGATTAGAGAATGTGAGAGGGGATGACAGGTGAAAGTTCATGTAGGATATAAACACTAGCACAAACTAGTTGGGCCAAATGGCCTGTTTCAGTGCCGGAAAGTTCAATGTAATACAATTCCACATTGGTCGTTGTTTATCAGTGTTGCATTCCTAATGCTTTCAATTTGGTTTGCCTGACAGTCGCTCTCCCCGTCGCTCTCGAAGAAAGAAGCCCTATAAGTACTGGGATGTACCTCCACCGGGCTTTGAGCACATTACTCCAATGCAATATAAGGCCATGCAAGGTTGGTCTTTTACTGTATTACCTTGAATTACTTCAATGAGAACCTCTAAAACCGGATCACTCTCTCTTATATCAATGCAAATTGTTGCAGTTATGTAATACCCCATTTGTTGTAGTACTTCAACAGCGGAAACTGCATCCAGAAGAAACCACTTTATTTTTTGTTAGCTGCAGGGCAGATCCCAGCGACAGCGCTACTGGCAACCTCTACAGCAGGTGGTGTGACAATCACACCAACACAGGTTCCAATCATCGGCAGCCAAATGACCAGACAGGCGAGACGACTCTATGTTGGCAATATACCCTTCGGTGTCACAGAGGTAAATATAATACTTTGCATATTTTACCCTTTGTAATGTTGGAATAATAATAATCTTTGCATTTGGTGTAACATCTTATCACGTCATTGAGACATCTCAAAGTACTTCACAAAATATATTGTAAAGTGGATTGACTGTATTTTGTGGATGAAACACATAGACAATCCACATTGGTATGGGTGATGCCAAACGAGATGCTGTGGATAGAGGGTTTCTGATTAAAATGTGACCATATTATAACATGCCAGTTGGGTTATCATGGAGCATATTGCAGTGCAACAGTTCAGGGTTGTGAGTTGTACCTGACATCACTGAGCCCCGCTGAACCTGTAAGCTGTGCACAGAAAACCCTCTCATCAGTGGCAATTGCTCTCACAAGCATCTTCATTGGTTGTTGAGGATTCTACTGACATCCCAAGGCCGACTGTGCCTTAGAACGCAAACACAGCAGGCATACCGCACTTTATTTACAGTGATATAATGTAAAAACTTTGCATGGGTGATTACAATTCAATCTTTGAATCAGATTTGTATTATCTACCACTAAATTTAAGAGTAAGATAACCAGAATTTATTACAACTCATCATAACGGGCGTTTGAAAAGAGGTCTTGCAGGTAGTAAGGAATAAATTGCAGAGATTAAGTTATTGTCCATTGGACTTTATTATAATGATAAGTGCTGGATCCATATAGTCTTAATACCATGATGCGCATTTAACAGACTTTAAAGAATACACCTTCTTTCTCAGGAAGCCATGGCAGACTTCTTTAATGCTCAGATGCGTCTAGCTGGCTTATCGCAGGCTCCCGGGAACCCTGTATTGGCTGTGCAGATCAACCAAGATAAAAATTTTGCTTTTCTTGAGGTAAGTCTGTATCCTGATATTTTTTGTGGGTATTTTTGTAACTTATTTATACTTTGTAAATCCAAAAACCAAATGATACTAACATTGATAATAATAATCCTTGCATTTGATATAGCACCTTATCACATCTTTGAGACATCTCAAAGCGCTTCACAGAACATACTGTAAAATGAATTGACTGTTATGTTTTGTGGACAAAACGCGGCAGCCAATTGTACACAGCTGTGTCCCACGAACAGTCGTGGATTGAATGACTAAATTATTTTTTATTATATATTCAACAAAAGACCTAGGTCAATAATGTATTATATGTATTAACTTATTTAAAGGGGAACTGGATAATAATAAAAACAATAAAAATACCGTAAACTTCTGATAACTCGACTCCTTTGCAGGACTATGGGGTAAGAGTGAGACTAGTTGGGTATCTCTTTCAAAGAGCCTGCACAGACACGATGGGTCAAATGGCCTCCTCCTGTGCTGTAAGATTTTATGATTCTATATTTTTAATAAGTTTCCGTTTCACCTAATGTATTTTCAGCATACTATTGCTTTGCTGTTTTTCCTAGTTCCGTTCAGTTGATGAAACGACACAGGCCATGGCATTTGATGGCATCATCTTCCAGGGTCAGTCTTTGAAGATCCGACGTCCACACGATTACCAACCTCTGCCAGGCATGTCTGAGCAACCTTCTTTCCATGTCCCAGGTCCGTCAAAAAATGCATCGTCCGTGTGCTGGACTTCCTTTGCAGGTTTAAGTATACTGCATGCCTCCACTGTAATGACAGGGAACCAAAATACCATTTAGGTCAACCAAACGATGGGCTAAACTAGAGAAAAAAACAAAACAAAGCAAATTTTTTTCAAAAATATATCTTGTCAAAGAAAATGCAGATACTTTAACAAACAAAAATGCAAGGAAAGTCGGAATCAGAACTCGCACAGCAGAATAACAATTCTGTGGATGAAGATCTTGACTCTAGGACCTGTACACCTAATCATTGAGTTGTCACCTGCTGAAAGGGAAATGATGTTGGCTTGAGCAGATGGCAACAAAATGAATAGGAATATGTTGTGCAACACGGTTTTGTTCAGTTCAAAATAATATTTTCCCCATGTTTGAGTGGTTTTTGTCCTTGCGTGTCCTAGAATGTTTTTGATGCGTCTGTGAGTAGAGTTTTCAAACACCGTTTGACTAAGGGTTTTGCTAGAATAGAAAATTAACTTCTTCCAATGGTCAGTCCCAGGACCACCACAACTTTTTCTTCCCACAGCACTTTATTCTCAGAAGATATGCTTAAAATCTCTGGCTTCAACAAGTCACATTGAAGTGCCAGTTCCAGCCAGGCTGCTCAAAAGGTAACATTGTGGTAGCCTGGCTATATATAACCTCTATCACTAGTTCTCAACTAAAATCAAGTTGTGAAATTTACTGTAGAAGTCCAATAACTAAAGGGTTCAGATAATTGAAAAGTGATTTCCAAGATTTGAAGTTCAGAATTTGACTTGATTCAGAAGTTGACATGCTCTCTGGTCACATTAGGGGAACAAAAATTCACCTTTGCTCATCCTCTTCCATATATATTCCTGTTTTTTTCGTTTGCCTTTTTGAAAAATCATTTTCTTTCCCATCTCCCTCCCTCATATATATATATATATATTTTTTTGCGCTCTTCATCTCTTTCCATCGTCACTGGTTCTCAATCCCTGCACCTATTGAAATTCTCTCACTTGTGGATTTTGGAAACCTGCAGAGTCTTTGTGTTGCGGTTTGGAGCAGCTGGCCCAGCGAGATTCTCCGCCAGCCTGGGAACACGCAATTGACTAGGGCCACATTGGTGACACTGTAAGTCAGAAGGTTTTTCCAGTTCTGCTTCTGCTTTCCTCTGACCCATACATGGCTTGCTTGCTTTAAAAAGGGATACAGCCATTCTAATTAAGGTGAAGAAAATAAACAAACCAATTGTTAATTGCTTTGTAAATATTTAAACTTTTTCTAAAAAAACAACTCACGAAATGACCAAGATCCATTATCTGAACCCCCTCTTCCCCCCACGTCCCCCACCAACCCCTCCCCGCCCCTAATTAAGCTACACATGTTTCTTTTTTGTGGTTGAGGTTTCTCTCAAGTCCCAGTGGCTGAAACCATCCATGTGTGTGTGTGTGTTATCTTTTTACAGCTGTAAACATAGAAGCTCTGCCCACTTTTGAAACACGTAAACTGGCACTTACCCTGTCATACTCGACAACCCAGTAAACAGAAGAGTTTCAGAAAGGTTACCTAGATTCAGAAAGGGAATACTTCTGTCTGATTCTGACTTTTTAATACAGTATCAATTTATTTTATAAATCCTTTTTTATATATAAAAAGAAGTGAATGTAGTGGAATCCAATGACCCAAGCAGCCACTAACGTTTAGCCAGGATGTTTATGTTGGCGTGTCTCTTTCTCTTCTTTCTCTGCAGGCGTGGTGTCCACAGTGGTCCCGGATTCTCCCCACAAGCTTTTCATTGGCGGTTTGCCCAATTACCTCAATGACGACCAGGTAGCTACGGATACGACCCTCGCGGAGAAAGCTGACAGTTTTGTCCTGCTCTTTCTCCTCTTCAATTTATATCCAAAGCTGCACTGATTTGTGCCACTGATCAGATATAGATGCACTGATACTTAAGTTGTAGTTATTGACTTTTAACTTATTGTGTCAGCTTTCTCCAGCTCTTGCAATTCCGAATTGATTTTTGAAGATGGCATTTTTTTCTTCTTCTTCTTCACGTGTGTGATTCGATTAGTTTGCATAATCGGACCAAAGCTTTTACTGATGAGATTTACATAAAAATTCACTCCTTTTTATCTAACAAAACTTTCTGGGCAAATCACTGAAGGAACTATTTCATTTAACAGTGAAGATGGGTGAAGCAGATTGTCATCGAATGTTCTGGAATAAATAACAGCGCCTTTTTTCTTTGTTTTTTTTCCCCCCATTTTTCCTCTCTCTTTCTCCCCCTAAAATATATTTTTTAAAACTGTGATGTTGCTTGTCCAAAAAAAACATGGATCTGATTGATGTTCCTTTGCTCATTACGAAATCGGTGTTTTTTGCCCAAGCAAACATAAGATTTCCTCTTTGCAGCAAGGTAACAGCAGCTCAAGCCCAAAGCCGCTGAAGGGTACAAGAATATCTTAAAGGTCCAGACCAACGAAGCCAGAAAGTGAAATCTATTCTCTGTTCTTACATGTTGTGGTGAACTTTCAAGTGGGCGGTTGATTTTTCTTTGCAGGAATTTTTTAAATAATTATTTCCGTTCCAGTAAGTGACTCCTCTTAAGATATATGGTGTGTGATATAGTGCTCGATTGTTTGCTACTTAGTGTAGGGTTTTTTTTTAGATTGTAGAAGTTTTGGTTCACCAAAGCTGGCTTACTTTTAATGGTAAAAAAGTTTTTTTTTTTTTGTTTTGTTTTAGCCCCGTTTTCTTTTCACAGCAGTTCAGTTTTACAGGTTTTTAGATTCCTAAACCGTTCGACACATAAAGGTGAGATACAATTGCAGTCAATTTCTTTACTACCTTTTAATGATATGTAGTTAATTAAAGACACTTGATTGAATTTTTGTATCGTTAAAGGTTGTTTTGTCATACAACTTTGTCTATGAAGGATCGTATCAAGTTAGCACACTAATCATTTTAATAAACTCTCCTAATTTTATATTTTAATTTTTAAAAAGAGCTATCAACGTGAAGATAAAAAGAAGGCATTTGAGTTTGGGGCTGGAAATTAACCATTGAATCCACTTGTACTTGGTCATTGAGAAATTGTACTTTTTTAAAAACTTAAATGGGACAATAATGATAGGTTAAATATCTTAAGCAATGAGGCTGTAATTACCTCACTGGAAAAAAAAAGGATGTGAACATTTACCGCTGACAGAATTTTATGCATGCTTTAAATATAACAGTAGATTACATTTGTGGGCAAGTAAATTCAAAGATAATGGACAATTGTTTGATACCAGCAGCTATGCGTATTTGAGAACACAATTGAAAAGGCTAAATTTGTGGAAAGGCAGCTGGTATCTCTTTGAATACTTGATTTTAAAAAAATTCTGAGTTTCACTTTGTCTTAGAATAATTTCGGGCAGTAATATTTACATTTAAGGTAGAAGTGGTACAAAAGGAGAGTATTATATTTAGCTGCAAATCAATTCTTTGAATTTACTTTTCCTTGACATGAATGCGCTGGAGCAATATTAATTTCAAGCCTCGATTGATTTGCTGGTGCCTTGTTTGAATATATTTTTATATTTTACTCTAGTACAAATTCCTGGACACTTAGTTGTGAAAAAATTTTATACATACTTATTCAACTTGTTTTCCAAAATCTTTTGCATAAGGTTGCACTTTTTTAATACTATACAAAATGTCCTTAAAGACTGGAGGTGTGTTAAAGTTTAAAAACATGATATGATCCTTGGCAATGCTTTTTTAAAGCTATTTAAACTGTCAACTATCTTAACACTCACCAAAACTGAAAACAATTCGAAAAACTGATATTAAAATCTGTAATTAATGGTCTACATTCGATAGTCTGAAATGCACGGTTTAATGAGAAGAGGGATCTTTGTTTTCTAATTCTAAATTTGTGAGCCAGTGTTGTGCTGACTCCTACCTTTGTAGTTACTGCTGGTTGATACTTATGGCTCTTTCATTTTTGTTCCCCCACTTTGTCCCCAGCTAGGGGCCTGTAAGATCGTAAGTCTTGGCGCATAGTTTGTTCAGTAGTACTGATCTACTGCTGCCATGCCAACCTGTAAGACAAGGCAAGTAAGAGCTCATGTCCCGCACTCGGATACCCTTGGAGCCAGCTGCCCTCAACTCTAGAACTTGCCCAGCCTTCCTGGGGAGCATTTGCTGGCTTTGAGGGTAGACCTTAACAAAGCGAAAATACATAATTTTGTTCTTGATACAATTGAATGAACCACTGAAAAGAGTGGTGTAAGTAGTCCATATAGACCTATGGTGTATGTCTTTAGGAGGTAAGGCATTTTTTTTCTTTTAGTGAAGGAATACGTTTTTTTCAACTATTATTAAGCTTTAATTCTTTATGAAAATTTTTGGTGACTTTCTTTTGAACCCTGTAGTTTTGCATTGGATGCATTATTATTTTTTAATATAAAAAGGTTTCATTAACTTTACTGTTTGGTTTATGAACATACCCTTTCCATTCATAGGGGCTTTTCATTCTCAAAACTGTGATGCTCTTTATATACTGAATTTGGTGACATTTTGAAATGGGGCAGATAGTCTTCAAGGGGTTAATCTCTTAAAGGATGACAGAGAGACCAATTGAATTTGATAAATATAAATGGTCTGGAGTCCAGAGTTCCAAAATAATAGTGAAACAACTGGATTCTGTTATTTGTTTTATATCTGTGTACAAGGGGAAAGGTGTGTGAGTGCTGCTCACTTTGAACTGCAAACGTCCTTTAAATCTATTCCTTTTGAACCCTTTGCATTTTTTTTCAAATTAACAAACTTGGGTGGAAGGCCTGGGGCTTAGCTCATTAAATGCTGAAAAGGGTAGAGGAGGAAACCTAATAAGTTGAGGTCTAGCAATTGTTAAGCTGATGTCAAGCTTGGGAGTTAAAAGACTGGATTTTAGGGGACTCAGGGAGGGTGAAATTACTTAAACGTTTGAGGTCCTGGGAGAGAAATTAATAGGAGAAATAAATGAAGTAGGAGCATGTTGAAGAAGCAAGGAGAAGGAGGTAAAAGCATAGTTGAGCTATTTGGAGCTTGGGTAATTGACCTATTTTTTAATTTTAAATGTTATAAATTGATATGAGATTATCAAAACCCCTTTGAAGGCTGATTTGGCTTTAGATCTGACCAAAGCAGTGGAAGCTGGTAAATGCAGTGATAGCAATAACTTAAATTTATATAGTGTCCTTCACTTACGGTAATATTTCATAGCACTTCACAAGTACGGAGTCAGTTGCTCTGCAAGGGGGAGGGGTGACAAAGTTGAATAGGTAGGTTTTTAGGTAAGGTTTAAAGACCGAGAAGGGGCAAGACTTGGGGGTGGGGGGGGGGGGGAGAAAAGGTTAGGAGCATCATTGCTGAAGGCTCAGCCACTGATGGTGAGTCAGAGAGGTTGGGGGTGCAGCAAACCCGAGTTAGCAAAGTGTAGGGGACCACCAGAAGGGTGCAGGAGGAGGAAATCAGATGAAGAGATGCAAAGGAATGAAGGGACTTAAGGTGAGGATGAGGGCCTTGATGTTGATTCATGGGAGACAGAGAGCCAATGCACCCTGGGGTGATGGGCAGGCAGAGTTTGGTGCAGGTGAGCATTGTGGGCGCCAGAGTTTTTATGCCAGCAGGACATCTCAAAGAGCTTCACAGAATTCACCTGATGTCTGACAGGTGTGAAACAGAACATCAGTGGATTTTGAATCAAGAGTAGAGGTGGCAAAGTAGATTTCAGTGTCATTTGCATACATTCACACAAAATGTGTAAACACTTTACAATATGTTCTATGAAGTGCTTTGAGATGTGAAAGGGCTGCACCAAATAGTATTATTATTATGTGGAAGTTATCCCCATGTCTCTGCGGATGTTGCCAAGAGTGAGCATGTACATGAGGAAAAGGAGAGGACTAAGGTAATCCTGCAAGTGTGGGATCATTGAGATGGATAGGATTTGAACCAGGAGAGTGTGTATCATGGAAGTGAATGAGGCTGGAGAGGCAATCACGGAGAATGGAGTGGTCAGCGGTGTTAAAAACATGGTCCAAGACTTTGGATAGAAATGGCAAGTTGGAGATTAGTCATCAATTGAATTGGATCTTAGTATTTACAAGAATGCTGTACTCAAGGTTCACGAAGCCTGGTAATGCAGGTAGTAGTGAAGCTACCAGTTTATCATTCAGATTTTTGGTCAAATGGTGCTGTCTCTTGAGATATTTCATTTGGTGGAAAATAGCAAAGATGAATGAACTCCAGCCAGCCAGCTGGGAAGTATTATTCTGTCAGCCAGCAAGGAGACTAACACCATTGTAGCTTTGAAGGAAAACAAAACTCTGGCCTCCAGTTGCTGCATGAAACCAGGCATATTGCTTAAAATCTGCCACTTTACGGATTTGAAAGGGAAAAAAATGTCAGGCCCAGAATAGTCAATAGTTACGAAGTTTAATTTTTGTGTTCATGGTTGGGTGAGGGGGGGAGAGATGCAAATTAAGTGATTAGGAAAATTGAAGGAGGTGTTCCCCTGTTTTCTGAGCATAGTGCATTGTGTTACAATAATATCTATTGAATATTGGTCTGTGCAGAAGATGCAAGTGATGCCCATTAATTGTATAGTTCAGTGCTAATCCTCGACTGGGTCATAAATTTGTCACTGCCCTAGGTCATTGTGCTTTTTCATGCCTGAATATCTTCTTTTAATTTGGCTTTGCCACTTTGCCAATTTGTTTTTTTTTAAAAAAACAGGAATTTGGTCAGTGCTAAGTTTAAGAACAGGCCTATAGTTACATTATGGTGATTTAGATGTCAGTCTGACTCAGTTGGTAGCACTCTCATCTCTTGAGTCAGAAGGGTGTGTGTTCAAGCCCCACGTGAGGATTTTGAAATCGTGTCATCTAGGCTGACGCTCCAATGCAATCCTGGGGTGTGTACTGCATTGCTGGATGTGCCATCCTTCAGATGAGACATTAAACCGAGGTCCCATCTGCCTGTTGAAATGGTTTCTAAAGTGGACCATCTTGTGGCTAAATTCAAAAAGAGAAGGGAGTTTCTCCTGGTGACTTGACCAACAATCCCCCAAATAAAGTTAGTCATTCACTTCATGGCTGTTTGTGAGACACTCCTGTGCCTACATTGACTGCCTGCAAAATAGTCACTGCACCTCACAGTAATAAGAATCCTTGCATTTGGTACAGCGCCTTTCACGTTGGAAGGTCGTCCCAAAGCGCTGACAGGATTTACTGTGAAGTGAGGTGTCTGTATTAGGTAGACGAATGCAACAGCCCAAGTATATCCTGTGAAGTGCCTTGAGACATCCTCCCAATGTGAATGGTGCTATGTCAAATGCAAATTTGGTGTTTGGTTTGAGCAAACATTTAAATGATTTAAATATTTCCCTCCTTCCCTTTCTCCAGTCTGCTTCTGCTCTGCGGCAGGCATTACTGTAGGATCAGATAACCGATAGAAAAATGTACTAAAGTTCCTTAGATTCCATCATTTTCTGAGTTTTCAGTTTATGGAATAATCCAATGTAGATTCATTGGAAAAATCTAGTATAGGTAGTAAATTTAGCAAAGGGGCCAGGAGGTTAATTTTAGACCATTTAGCCTGGTTGAGAAGCGTAACTTTGCCTGTGAGGTTGTAACTTCAATTACAAGTATCTTTTTATAAACTGGATTATCGCCAGTTTGTGATGTGATTTTCGCAAATGCATTGGACAACTGTTCTATCTTTTGCATCTCTGTAGAATTTATTTGCCAAATAGAAACTTAGTGGCAGGAGATTCGTGGATACTGCAGGTCACAAAGCAGCTCACTGGAGAACTAAAGATGTATCAAAAACCTTTCACCTTTAGGTTTAGCTTAAATTTTAAATCCTTCTATGGTCTTACCCCACCCTACTTCTGCGGTCTCCTCAAGCCCTACCAACCCAGCTGCTCCCTCTGCTAAGTGGGAACCACCCTCCCTGCTTTAGTTTCCCTGCCCCACCAGCAACATACGCTTTCTCCGTATCTGCCCTATTCTCAGGAATTCCATGCCAGAGACCCTTCGACTCACCCCTTCCCTCCCCTCCTTTACAGTCTGCCTCAAGACCTTCTTCTTTGACCATGCGTTAGGCTATTCTTTCCCCCCCCCCCCCTCAACCCCCATCCCCAGCTCAGGTGCAAATCCTGGACTGTCCAGCGCCTTGAGATATCCTCCCGACATGAAAGGCACTATGTAAATTTGTATTGTTAAAAAAAAATGTGCTGTGGCATTATCCTATGTGTTTGTCTATAATGTTAATAGGGCTGTCTCTATAAATATCCCCAAATTGCTGAGTTTTTTTTTTAAGGCCTGTTCTTATACTTTCGATTGTATATGATCATGAACTCTGAAAAACTTTGTGTGAACAAATAAAATAATTGGCACCCTGGCTAAAGTTCAAATCCCTTTCTACCCCACACCTCAAATTTTGCAGGGCTTCTGACTGCCTCCCCATATAATTTCAAACATGTATGCTGATTATAAATTGTATAGTAATTTATAGATTTCTTTGGCTGGTTTGGATAATTACTGATTATCCGATGTTTTTTTTTATAGGTGAAGGAACTTCTGACGTCATTTGGCCCACTGAAAGCTTTCAACCTGGTGAAGGACAGTGCAACATCTCTGTCCAAAGGATATGCCTTCTGTGAATATGTGGATGTCAATGTTACTGATCAGGTATGAGAGTATTATCACACCTTATCGCAGTGTTGAGATGTCCTCAAAGCGCTTCACAGAATATACTGTAAAGCAAATTGACTATGAATTGAATGACCATATTATTAATTTATATTTTTTGAAGGGATTATTACCCCCAGAAAGCAATCCGCCAATCGACGACTACTTAATAGTCTATTTACTATTAAGTGAACATTCATGTGGAGTAAGGAAACTTGCCAAAGGCTTCACCCCGCACGGGAATCGAACCCAGGTCCTCTTGCTTGCGAGGCGAGAGCTCTAACCAATATGCTACGGGACTCCAGATGTGTGATATGTGCTATCATATTCAAGTTGATTCTCACTTTCACCATAGTTGCTGGCTAATTAATATGCAGATTTGTGCATATTCAAAGTAAATATTTAAAGTAATTTTAGTGTTTATACATTTATTAAAAATGGGTAAAGTTTACTAAAATTCTGGATTTGAAATGCTTTTTCTTTTTTTCCCTCTTCTCCAGTAACTCAATGGGTTAAGTACTATAATCCATGCAGAAGGTTACAGGTTCAGTTCTCCGTCTGTGTTGAGTTAGCTGTTCTCAGCCAGGTTGGCAGTCAAGGAACTACATTTGGCATTGGCCCCACAATTAGAGAGGGGAAATCCGCCAGAACTCCCACTCCTGAAAATTATCTAATGATCCCTGTTGGAAATTCACATGTATGAATATTGGTGAAAACATGATTTGGCTTGGCTGTTGTGTCTTCTATAGTTGAATAATCTGCCAACTCGCTCTTTCCAGGCTCATGTTTGTCAAATAGCCATTTGGGTTAGGTGCTGGAGAGTTGCCAAGTGTCTTCTGTTAGAAGAACATTGGCACAAAAAAATCTATTTCATCTACGGATTTGTTATTCTGCACTAACTGATGTCCGTTGACCTGCCACAGCACTCTTGTACGGTCTCCAACTCAATGTCAAGCTGCCTTTCTCCCTCTCTTTCCCACCCGAAACAAAAAGCCTGGATGAATGCACTGTGCACTTTCACAAATCCTGTTACTTTTTCTCTTCTGCCAGTTCAATTGTATTTCCTTTTTATTCGGACATCTCTATTATCACATTCTCTCAGTCTTCTCACAGCAACCACCAGATATGTTACAGAAATTCTATATTCAAAACTGTATATTGTTTTTTCACATTTCAGCATCTTAATGATCTTGTGTGTGGTATAGCGGATCATTGTGTTATCTTGTTGTGGTCAGCTCTCTTGTGAGAGGTAGGTAGGTACAGATAAAAGAGCGTGAGTTAGTGATCTTTTGATGTCAATTCATATGTTTACTTAAAACACAATGATGGTGCTTTTTTATGATTCAATATCTTCAACTTGTACATTTCAGATTGTTCATGGGTACACTAAAAGTACAAAGATTTGAATAAATGCCTGGAATTTACCATCTAATCAGCTTTCCATACATTTCACGCAGAATTCAATTTGTGAGATTCAACTAAGCTGATTTAGAAAGATGGATCTCTGCTGTCAACAAGGGCATTTCCGTGTATTATTTGACTCCTATAGCCATGCATAAAGCAGAGTTATTGACTAGCACTTTTTTTCAAGTGTCTGTGTTTCACTTCCTCATTGTATTCCTTCCCCCACCCATGCTGGTTGGTTGGGAATAAACCATAGAAAATGCATGGAGCAGCAAGTCTTGTGAGGGGAGGTGGGCTGTTGTGATTTCCATTGCCCAGATGGAGAATCTTAGTCATTGGACTCGGGAGTAGCTTGGAGACTGCGAGCCAACCTGTTAGTTGTTGCAGCCAGGGATCACATTGCATTTCTATGACTGCCGGCTTATATTTCTGTGGAGAACAATACTCAAGCCTGCCAACCATAAGCATGGGGATTTTCACCAGGCTCCAAGTATGTTTGTGCTTCCTACCAGCTGATCCTTGGAAAGCTGTGGCAAAGCCCCCAGTTTCAGTTGCATACTGTGGCTGAAGGATTACAGTGAAGAATGGAGAAAAGTGATGTGGATCCAAATGGGAAGATGTAAAATATTACAGAATAGCATTTTTAGAAATCTCTGGGACATTGTATTTTTGAAGTGTGCCAGCTCATTCTAGTCTTTGGAAAGGTTTTGATTACTCAACATTATAGGTTTGATGGTTTATTTAATTTAGCCTGATGTACTATTTTGTGTTTGAAATCTGGTGCAATTCTTGACCTATTCCTTAACTTTTTTTCAAGAGGGGAATTTAACGCTCTTTGGTGTGAATCTATTATTCTGTTTTCTGTTTAGGCTATCGCAGGTCTGAATGGAATGCAGCTTGGCGATAAGAAGCTTATAGTACAGAGGGCCAGTGTTGGTGCAAAGAATGCTAATCCGGTAAAGAATCTGTTGTTCATTGCCTTCCATGCACTTTGTTACTTTTTTTTCTCCGATGACCGGTCTGCCCTTCCAATTGCTGCCAATGTGCCAGGCTGCCTGGGCTGTTCAGCAGCACCCTGGATACTGCAGACTCACCTGGCTCAGGAACCAGCATAGAGGGTTGGCTGCATTCTCATATTCCATTGCCAAACATGTCACCTTGGAGCCAATTCAGCTCCAAACAGGCCCCACATTTCCACCCTTCTCCGGGGAGGATAGGAAGAGAAATGCTGGAAATTAATAGCGAGCTCCGGCTTGCTCCATGTCTCCCGCCCGACTCTCGGTGGCCGAGCTTTCAGCCTCTCTGCCCCCACGCTCTGGAACTCCATCCCACAGTCCCTTCGCCTCACTTCCTCCCTTGCCTCTTTCAAGGCCGGTCTCAAGACCCTCCTATTTGATCGTGCCTTCGGTTGCCCTCCCACCTCTCTGCCTTCCCTCACCCCTACCCCAGCCCCAATGCTCGGGTCCTGACCCGATTGTGCAGCGCTTTGGGACGTCCTCCCGATGTGAAAGGCGCTCTAAATGTAATTTTGCTGTTGTAGGTCAATACAAAAGCAAAAGATGCATTGTATTAAATTAACTAAATGCTGTTTCCTCTATTACATTGTCATTGAACCTTTCCATCTGCCATCTAAAGAACAAATGAGTTTTGCTCCATTAGCTTTGATTATTCCAACAAACATTCACCAGCAGTGAGGCAACCCTGGTTCTGGAGACATGCCCTCATGTGGGTGAGCTGTGTCTGGCAGTATACGAGTGAGCACTAAGTTATTTAATACTGTGTTTTGCCTATTGCAGAATGCCATTATTCAAACGCCAGTGACTGTCCAAGTGCCCGGCCTTCCATCAATGCAAGTGCAGACCACAGGGATGCCCACAGACATCTTGTGCCTGTTAAACATGGTATCACCAGAAGAGCTGATTGATGATGAAGAGTACGAGGAAATTTTGGAAGACATTCGAGAAGAGTGCAGTAAATATGGAACTGTGAAATCCATTGAAATCCCTCGACCACTGGACGGACTAGAAGTGCCTGGCTGTGGCAAGGTAAATAAAATGGCGGACCTGGTTAGGCAAGGCGAGTGCTTTCTCAGGTACATTGCTGTTGATATTTCAAGATAACAATATTAATTTTCACATACTGTATCGTAACAGATGAAGCTGGCCGCTAATGTATTGGAATATTGTAACCACTCAGCATCAGTGGGCAGCCAACAAGAGCTGCAAACTAGGAAAAATCAGACAACTCAATTGTTCTCTCAGTGGTCAGCTGAGAACTGCCCAAAAGAAGCAGTTTTGCAGCTTAGCCTAAACCATCTGGCAGGAAGGATCTACCTGTGTTACTTACCCATTGTGTCAATCCCCTGAAAAGACTAATTTTGTTTCAAATCTACAATACAAAAATTGATTCATTTACCTTTTATGGTTTTTTTAAACAGATATTTGTGGAATTCATCTCATCTCTAGACTGCCAAAAAGCAATGCAAGCATTAACGGGACGTAAGTTTGCCAACAGAGTTGTAGTTACTAAGTACTATGATCCAGACTTGTATCACAGGCGTGACTTCTAACACATCACCTTGCTGTTCGCATATCTGACTAAAAGAAACTTTGTTTATAGCTATGATTAGATTGTACAAAACAGGACAGATTGGGTCGGTATGTAGTAGTCCAATTCAGTTTATTTTTAAGCACGAATGTATTGTATCTGTTGTGAGTGAGTGATCAGATCAGCTGGGTGCAGCTTTGTGTTCCAGGAGTTGTAATAGCAGAGACTTGTAAATGGGATTGTATCTTTTCTATAGTGTTGGGCAAATTTTCGTCAGCTTAAAAAAAACTGTTTAAATTGTAATGGGCTGCTCTGTCAGTCTGGTGAAACCAGTATTTTAGAGTGTACCTGGTTTCATGAAATAAACATTGAAATGAAAGTGATCAATATTCTGGTTATACTTATTACAAAGCTGATGAAGTGTCTGGAGCAGTCATTGCTACTTCTTTTCATCTCAGGCGAAAGTCAATTCCTCCCGTTTGTCTTGTCTTTAACCTGATAGATGCAAGTAAGAACCTGTTGAATGTGGCGACATTAACTGTCAACGTAGTGGGCAGCAAATTCTCTTGCGTCTTGAATGCGTGAACGACTGCAACATAAAAATGTTATTACAGGTTTGTTCTGATCAGGCATTAAACTAGAGCTGGAACAAAGTTTTACCATCATACCCATAAGCTTTTCACAAGTAAACGTGGAAATTTAATGTCAGTACAGTGATACTTAATTTACTCTATTAGTAAATAAATGTGATTATTAGAAACTTGAGAATGCAGTTAAAAAATTTAAACAATGGTAGTCCAAGAAAATATTCAATACAAACTGATAATAATCCTTGCAGTTGATATAGCACCTTATCACAACTTTGAGACGTCTCAAAGCCCTTCACAGTATATACAGTAAAGTGAATTGACTATTTCGTGGGCGAAACGATACTGGTGATTGAAGTTTAATCTATAAATTTTGTAAACTGCATTTGCAGAAAATATTGGTTCGTTAGATTAGAAGGAAGAACTATTTCTTCCAATAGGAATGACTATTTTATGCTCAGAGGTGTCAACATGACTATTAATGGATATAATTTTAAACATGAATCCATAGGATGACCTTTCTTCTGCTTCACCATTACTGCTCAAACAGCTGTACTACATGCCCACCTCACACGGGCACTGGGTGACTTGTGGACGTTTATTTCCTACAGTAGCCGAGGGGTGGCTTATGGAGAAATGTATGAATTAATTCTGGTGCATTCAGTGTTGATGCTGAACGTTGTCGCATCAGGGTAATTGCAGAAGGTAGGTTTGTGATCCACTTTGTTTGGTATATATGCTTCTCTGGGCGGCCTTTTCTCAATGTACACTAGAGTCTCAGATACACTGTTCAGTGGAGCATTTTCACTCACTAACTCATGTAGACCTATTTTATGTAAACGAGCTTGAGTCCACAATATTGTGCCTGGTATTCTTTTCCTTACTTTTCTGCCCCCTGGGGTTTTGGAGATTTATCAGGCAACTGTTCCCAAGCCGATGCTAATGCTCTGGAACGAAGAGGTAGGAGGCTAGCAAGAACCCTGGGGGCCTCCTTCCTTCCCTCTTCCCACTTTCCTTGTGGGAAAGTATCCCCTCCGTCTGGGAGAGGCCAGGGATGAACCTGCATCGCAGGGAAACTGAGGTCTGCCGTTATCTTATTTCTTGCGATGTCAACGAGAAAGAATACATGCTGTTGGACGGCTGTTGCCTTAACTTTGTTTTTAGATAACACAATAAAAGACTGTTTGAATCTGCTGCTTTTCTTTGCTCATTGCAAGACACTCGACATTTATCTACAAATGTTTGGGCGTTAGTCCCCTCTGGTGGCAGCAATATGTAGTGAAACATTAGCATTTCAGAGCTCGTCGGTTTGGTTCCCTTTAAAAAGTTGTTTCAGTGAAAGTTTACGAACGTTCAAGTCGTGAGCAAACGTCTTATTTGATGGTTTGTAGACACAGAAACATTTTGTTGATTTTTTTTTCCCTGCACAATTTTGAGAGATTTGAGTTTGATAGCCGGGGAAATTGCTGGGGTACCTTTGAATTAAGTAACGGATTTCTTCTTGGTAAGAGATGATGTTACCCCTCTTGTGGATAAGTGACTTCATGTTTCTTTTTGTTGACTCGGTGAAAGCTGAATCGACTGAAGCATTCAACAAGAGACTAAAAATATACCTGATGCAGCATAGCGACACAGGGCTGGGGTAGCAGATGGACAGCAGCCAGAGCAGGTACTGAGAGAAGGCCTTGACGGACAGGGGAACTGATTGGTATTTTCTCATTTGTACATTCACCCACAAAATATACAGTCAATTCACTTTACAGTATATACTCTGAAGCGCTTTGAGACGCCTTTTACCTCCTTACCTGCTGCAGTTTGATTGTGCCCGGGCTCCACTGCTCGACACCAAGGGAGATCCAGCTGATTCTGTTGAACCTGTACACACATTTATCGAATCATCTAACTTTACTTTCAAGGCAAGATCCACACTAGAAATCAACCAACACTGGACTGCACAACTTTTATTCAAAGATTTAATATAACCATTTCACTTAATTTTTTTCCAGATAATGAGCACATAGAATAACAATCATACTTGTTTTTTTTAAGCATCATTCAGTATGGGGGAGGGAGTGATGGAATCCAGATGGAACAGGCTCCATCACAGGAAAGCACATTGGGCATTTGCCAATCTGCATGTTGTGAATATTCCCCATTTTCTTTCCCACTTTCAAACCCACCTCACGTCTTACCTCTTTGACCATGTTTTCTTTCGGTCATCTTTCTCAGCTCACTCCCTCCCTCTCTTCCCTCTTTCCCCCCCTCCCCCCACACACACACACACACACACACACACACTGGTTCTAAGCCACTAGTGTAAAGCACTTCAAACAACCGTGAGTGTTAGTTTGTTTTTACTGAAGATTGTACAGCAGTACCTCAACCAACTGAAAGGTAAGGTTTATTAAAACAAAAGTCCATTGAAAGTGCCCTATACCCAGACCTCGCCAAATGCTGTTTTTGAAGCTTGGTGCTCAGACAGATGAAGTACCAGCCCAAGTGGATGTGATCTGTTTCTAGGTAAGCATCTCATTGCTTCTGACCATCTGGTCCAGAAATAGGACATCAACACGTGGCGATGCATTACATGCAGATCTATGTGATCTAAAAAATGCTATTAGCTTAACCTAACATGTGTTGAGAGGTGTAAATTGACTGAATGTACATTCACAGGAGATTAATACTGTTATACTCTTAAAATGAAACAGGAGAGCACCCTGCAAGGTCTGGAATACTTATACATGAAGAAATTAGACATAAGTTTAATTGTGGTCTCACCTGAAGGTTTGGGAGGAGACTGTTTGGGTAGAGACTTCACCAGTTTTCTCACTTGACTGAACCTGAGCAAGGAAAGCCAAAAATACAAGTAACTCTTATAGCAATTCCATATTCTTTTACTCTGGGGGTAATTAATGACTGGAACAGGGTGCCAGGAAATGTGGTTGAGCCCAGGACACTAGACGCATTTAAAAAAAATTGTAGGGCAGCTGTTCTGACAGGACGAGATCGGATGAGACGAAGAGCTTTCTACATTCCAAACAAATTTTATGACCTGAATAACTATCTTCTGTTGCCACAATGACTAACGGCAGTTTCCCACAAAGTGGCATTTCCTCTCCCTCCATCTTCTGTCTGACGTTTATGTACATGAGCGACGAAGGATAAAAATGATGGAAGTGCTAAACCGTGCTCCTTCATGAGAATACCCAATGCCTTGAGGTGCAATTTCACTTAAATCAAAGGGAAAGTTTTAGGGAAGTTAGTATCTGCCCAGGTTCCTCAAGTTTATGGCAGATAGTATTCTGGAACACCATCCTTCAAGTGTTTTGAGCTCTCATCCTCTGCTGTTGGAAATAATGTTGACATCCCATATTGCATAGATATGATCCAATTGGACACGTTTTAAAGAAATGTCTTGCAGATTCAGGCTGTTAGTCACTGGTGACATTCGGAAGAAAAATGTGAGCAGTCGTGATTCTTTTGTCACCCTCGTAAAGAGATATAGATGCTAAAAATCTGAAACCTTCAAATTATTTTATTTCCTAAAGACACTGAAGTGTACTGGAGTAGGGTTCCCAGGGCACCAGCCAACCTCTGGAGCAATAGGCTGTGAGCCCAGATAATGAGTATTGGCAGCCAATCGACTGTGGGGGAGTATCACAGTGGGGCTTTGCTCCTGTCCTCACAGTTCACTCACACACCAGAGTTTTAGCAGGTTCCCTGCACAGTGTGTGGGAAAATGTTTTTTTTCTCCCCCGCCTCCCCCCCACCCACCCCCCACTTCAGTGAAAGAGCACTGAACCCAATTGTAATGCCCCGACCAACAACACGGGCAGTACAATTCATGGAATTATACAGCACAGAAGGAGACCATTCGGCCCATCGTGTCTGTGCCGGCTCTTGGAAAAGAGCTTCCAAATCAATCCCACTCCCCCCGCGCTCTCCCCATAGCCCTGGAAACTTGTCCTTCCCAAATAATTATCTACTTCTCTCTTAAAAGTTATGATCGAATCGACTTCTACCACTCTTTCAGGCAACGCATTCCAGATCCAAACAACTCCCTGAGTGAAAGTAAATTGTCCACCAATTTACTCCTCTTAATGTGTTCTGACTACTGCAATCCACAGCTGCCGGTCACCCACTGTGACCTCATGCAAATGGTCATTATGATCAGTGACCCTACATACGGGTTGGCAGGTATTTTGACTGATGGAAGATGTTTTTTTTTGTGTGGTCTCCCAAGTCAGTTGTAAAGTGATCTGACCTTTCAGACAGTGACTGACACAGCTCCTCCATTTGAGACTCGTAGTTGGCAATGTGGCTTGCTATTTGATGGGTTGTCTCACACGCATCTGCAAGGATAAGTGTAAGTATCGAAAGTAGAAAACAAGTTGCAAACACGGGTGTTATCAAAATGTTCTCAAGTTCATATGGGACAAATATATTTCTCCTCGAAAGACATCCATTTTTTAAATGTTTGTAAAGTATATTTTTTTATTGAGTAAGGTAGGCAAAGGCTCATACAGCACAACATACAGCGATGGTGTCCTTACCAGGATCCAGTGCCGCTTTGTAAGTAATCGGAGTTTCTTGCTTTTCTCTATTTGATTGGTTAACGATAACCTGCGACACAATAACACACAGCACTTGTTGATCCCGTCTTAAACAGAGAATACCTCTCAGTGCGTGAGTGTGGGGTTTACACTAACCTCAATCACTAGATTTGCTCAGTTAGTGTTGTTCGAGGTATATTTGTGCTGTGAACTAGCATTCAATTGAAACAACCCTGCATTTCCCTGAAGTTCAAATGTCATCTAGTTTTGAAAATACACGTTGCAGCGTCACATGAAAGTCTTATTTTCTAACAATGTCCAGGTTCAGCGCAATCTCATCTGAATAGTTAAAATAAAATCACATTTCTGAAAGGCAGAGAGCGTACATACGTATGACAAGACAACTACAACCATAGGCATACTTGAAAATACAAGGTCTCATACTTTTTCAAGTATCAGTACTATACACATGGAGTGGCTCGACTTTGCTCTTGATTGCCTTCAGTGATGTGGACTGCAATGGTAATTTAGATCCTGTTGAAAAATGCTTCTTTTTCAACGTGCGCCTCCCAGTAACCAACTGAGACGAGTTCAAGGCCTGAATATTAAACTCCATCTGTACTTACCCCATCCAAACTCTCCAGCTGAGGCATAAGGCGAGACAACTCCATGACTTTCCTGTAGAAACACTACTTAATTATTCTGTCTTTGAGACTGAAAACACACAGTGTGAAGTGTGGTCGATTATGAGATTTCTTTATATGGACTTGGGGGTCACAAATGGGGATTCCTCCAAGTAACCAGAAATGTACTGTATTGACCCAAAGGAACAGTAAATCTTCTCTAAACCAAATCTACTTTCACAAGTTCTTGATCTTGCTGTGAAGTGTTTGCGGTTACTAGAAGGAATCCCATTTGTGACTTGTTTGAGTGATAGTGAGAAACCTTGTTATGTATGGCCTCCAATTTAGTCCCTGTTCTCTATATTGCCAAGGTTGACAACACACCTCTACAATGAAAGGAACAGGTCTACAATAATTTATTATTATTATTATTATTGTATCATTAAGTATACCTGTTTTCAGTAACAAAAAGATTAACTCACCAAATCGCCACTGGGAATTTCAGCGCTGGCCGAGTAATCTTCGATGCGGATATTTGCATGAAATATATGCCTTTAGTTAGAGGCGACTGCACTCACTGAAAGTTTTAGAAGCAGTAATTGCTGCTGCAGTGGTTGGGACTCTGACTCGTACCTGGTTTGTTCTTCCTCCGAAGCGCAAGTCGGGTTGCCCGCCAGATTCACTTCCACTAGGTGGCAGCACCGAGCCAGAGATTTCTGGAAGGAAGGACCATAAATAACACGGATGTGATTAGATCTCACACTCCCCGGGATAAGCAATCTATGTTTTTGGGGAAAAAACCCAACAAAACAGACCCAGCCCCTGATAGAACTGTAGTTAAATCGACACAACAATCTAACTTCAGTCCCCAGGACTGACACTTCCAATTATCAGGCGATTCCGATCGTTTGATTCCTTTGTTGGGATAAAAAGGCAGCCCCGAAACTGCCAGAACTCGCCCGACTGAGCCAAGCAAGTGCGATAGGAGGAACAGAACATGTGTGTAACAGGCAAAGCATGGTTCATTTTCATATTTATCTCATCACCTCCACGACTATCTTGCAGTATTGATTATTACCCCCAGTTCCACAAGGTTTCTTTCCACTAGCAATTCTTATGTTAAGCACAATAAAAATCCTTGCATTTGATGTAGGGCCTTATCACATCTTCGAGATGTCTCAAAGCGCTTCACGGAATATGCTGTAAAGTAAATTGACTGTATACTTTGTGGGTGAAATGTTCTTATGTTCTTAAGGTGATTGATTTCCAAGGCGAGAGAACTGATATCCTTAGAATAGTGGAATTTCTCACCCTGCTTGTTCTGCACGGACAAAACAACATTGATACTCACCAGCTCCTCCCAGGAATGAATAGAGTTACTGACTAAACTGAGGACCTCCAGGACAGGAAACTGCTCAGCAAAGCTACAAACTGACACCAGTTGATTGCAGCCAAAGTTCAACTCCTGCAAGGAACTAAAGAAGCACCCGGAGTGTAGTTAAAAACTGAGACACAAAATCAGCAAGAAAATGTACATCTTCCATCAGGAAATAACAAGACAGCCATAAATGAGCAGTTTTCAATCTATGGACTCATTATTAATAATAATCCTTGCAAATGCCATGGCACATCAAAATGTCTCAAAGCACTCGAGTTTTTTCTGTAAAGCGTAGTGACTATTCGTGAATGAATATGACAGTGAATTTATGCACAGCCCTCCAAAACACCCATGGAATATTTTACCTAACAAAGAAAATAAACATCAAATAATAATTCGTGCATTTGATAGAGCGCCTTACCACGTCTTTGAGACATCTCAAAGCGCTTCACAGGATAGACTGTAAAGTTAATTGACTGTATAGTTTGACGGTCTATGTAATCAAATGCTCTGAAATGAATCAGTATCAAAGTTTGGGGTTTAGGGGGAAGTGAAACTAATTTGCATCACATGTCGATACAACAACTTGCCTTTATTTAACGCCTTTCAAGTCAGGAGGACGTGCCAAGGACGGTGCTGGACATAGCACCAGCTGACATGTAACATTGTCAGCATCGGCAAGTGTGGCTCCATTATAATTCACTCTCAAGGTCAGTGACTAAGGCAATTGTTATGTTGTTTTCGATGAACCAATAGCTAGAAAGGATGTGTTTAAATCCTATATGATTTACCAGCACCCAAAACGCAAACCAGTTTAAATAAAATGCAAACCCCAAAAAAGGATATTGCGATCCAAGTGACACTTGGCACTACTGTTGATGCCACTTCCCAGTAATAGCTTATGCAAATGCAAATCTCTGATTAAAACAACTCTGGATTTACATAAAAGATTTATTTTAATCTGCAGGATTAATCATCATAGGATTAATCAATACATCATTGAGGACATCTGGTGCAAGGAATGGGCGTTACAGGGCAACCTGAAGATCGATGGTCAGCAGGAATGGAAGCCCGAAAAAAGTGCTCGAGAATCCTGACTGTCTGTTCTGCAGCAGGTAATTCAAGACAAGTCCAAAACCAGCGATGGGATTGGGCTTGCAACCAAAGCACAGGAAATCTAAATTTTATGTTTTATTTCCTTCAAATGCATATCTAAGTTCATATGTAAAGTTTTTTTTTGTGCCCACTAAAATTTATCATGGGATTTTAAGGGCACCCATTGAAGACAGAATTATTATTTTCTCGGTAATGTAAGAGGGAGGTAGATGAGGATTTGGTAGGCAGGGGTATCAATGGATGTGGTAAAGGGCAGGGAGTTCTTGGCCAGGGAGAAATTTGTCCTCCTCTTTTTGAATGATGCAATGGGAATTCTTACGTCCACATTAACAGACAGACGGGACCTCAGTTTAATGTTCTTCCAAAGGAAGGCCTCCTAGCAGGATTGGCTGGATAAATGATCAGGAGCTGGACCCCTGCCTGATTTTCCCCTCATTTGCAGCTCCCAATGCTGAGGATCAAACCTGTGACCTTCCAATCTGTAGGGTTTACTGCAATCAGGCACTGGGTCATCAGTGGAGCCCATCTGGGTTTCTGATGCCATAATTTCTCATTCCGCTTTATACTAACTGGAGCTGTTGGAATCGATAATCAAGGCCAAATTGAAATATGATTTTCTTGAAAAATGTTTACAGAGATCAGGTTCTAAATTCGAATGCAACCTGCTTTGTTCAGACCGGATCACACAATTAACATATTCAACCCAGAGCCACATTCATTTCAGGTTTTACAAGTTCTCTGCCGACCCACTTGGCGATACGGAAATGGTGTCTCTCACCTCAGCAGGTGGAGAAGTCCGACTTGAGTCTTAAATTTAAATAACCAGCTTCCTAGGAGAATTCAGGATCCGAGCAAAACAACTTGCCTTATTGCTGAGGAAGCTGGCAACAGGTCACCAAGTTTGTTTTCATCTTAAAATCTTTTAAATTTACAGGTTTTTTTTAACGTCAACAGCAGAAGTTTGTTCGAAGAGAAGTACGTGAAACTGCAAAGCTGCTTATATTCTTTGAGATGCAAGCTCTCTTTGCTGCATGCACTTTATTAACTTCTTTCTTTCCCACCCCTTCAGTAAATGATAAGCACTGACTAAGCTGCAGTTAGGGTGCAGATCCTCACTTAACTGGATGTGCTCTGGCACTTGAGCTACATGGCTATTCATCACTATAGATGAGCAAATCCAATTGGAAACCCTCATTGTGGACCAGTATTCAGGACTCGGGCTGTCTACCCGGCTCCTGCCCCTACCCTCCCTGCCCTCCACCCTTCCTGATCCCAACCCCCTGCTCAGGTCCAAATCCCTGCTGTCCAGCGTATTGAGAAGTCCTCCCGACGTGAAAGGCACTCTCCAAAAGTGTGTGTTGTTGTCCACTGGAACAGGTCACATAGCGCAGGAATACTCAAATGGAGAAATTGTGAAAAATCGTGCTGGCCAGAGTTTAAGCGGGAAGTGTTGCACAACAGAATTTCGAGGCTTTGTTTTACTACTTTATTCCCTTTCTCTCAGTAAGGCACCAATTCTTGCTGAGCGATGGTCCCATTGGCCATGTCTCCCATCTGGTACCTCAACCAAGCATTCACTCTTCACTCGTGAGCCTTGATAGTGAGCAAAACTGTCAACATAGTATTCCATCACAGTTGAATCCCATCCTGTCCTCGCTCATACCCACGCATGCACTTTCCGTTGGAGGTCACTGGAGAGCCATCAGAAGTGGGAGACACTGGCAGATTTTCCCTTCCTCCCTAATCCAGAGAGTGCTGAGACTAATTTATAGTAACGCTTCCCAGAACCAACCAACTGACTCGTCTCCGAACAGGAATCGAGCCTGAAACCTTCCGATCTGTATGGTTCAGTGCAAAACAAGAAAGTGTGTTTCCCTATTAGGTCATCAACGATATTCCCAGAACTTTAAGTAAGGATAACTTTTTTTTATATCCCTTCAAAAAAAATACTAATAATAATGTGGTCACTCAATCCACGACTGTCTGTGGGACACTGCTATGAGCAATTGGCTGACGCATTTCACCCACAAAGTACAGTCAGTTCACTTTACAGTATATTCTGTGAAGAGCTTTGAGTTGTCCAGAAGACGTGATAAGGCACTATATCAAATGCAAGGATTATTATAATTATTATATTGAGTTTCTGCGATGTCATCATACTGCACAGCATGAAATGAGTTAAAGAGTTTCATGTCATTGAGTGCATTGTACAATGTGCTGGTAGGGGGGAGGAAGTCAGAAGGTTGTGTAATATTCTCACAAGCCAGAAAAGATGACAAAAAGGGAGGAAAATGTTTTGGAAAAAGGAAGGAAAAAAAATTATATTTTTCCAACGACACCTCTAACCTCTACAAACTGCTGGAGTCTCGGAAAGACAAAATGATTTATTATCCTCCAACGCACCATCTGGTCACCATGCAAATGAGGAAGATTAGTATTTATAAAGAAGGGAATTAATTTTTTGTAGCGGGCTATCAGTGTCAAGATTTTTCACTACGAACACAAAAACATCATGTATTATAGATGTCGAACCGCTGAAAAATGATCAACTCCATTAATTTTTAAAACCAGATTTGTTTTTTTATAATGGGGGTCAAAGGCGGGGGAGGAAGAGTTAAAGTCTAACTAAATTAACCATCGAATTTAGACTGAAAAGGATGGCGTGTGGACTAGACTCAATATATGTTTTAATTAATTACCTTAATTCATGGCGTGCAACAATCTGATTCAAGTTTGTAGCTTGGCTAAGATGTTAACACTCAAACATAAAGTGGGCTGAAATGTTTCCACAGACTCACCAAAGAGAGCCAAGGCTTTCTGTGCTGCTGAAAACATTTTCCGAGAGGTTAACAGTCTGAAATAAAAAAAAACAGCATTCAATCAGAAAGCACAATACGTGAAGAGTTAAAGCAAATGCCTGAGATACATCCATTTATTTTGTATTCCTTACTCACAGTTAAGCTTGTTAATAACGGCAGACCGTATATCTCAGATATCCTGTTATTGGACAAATCCAGTTCCTGTAACTAAAAGGAAAAGATTCATGAAAATTCACACTTATTTAGCTGGAATTAGACACCTGAATTTATTTGGCGAGGCCACGGGATAATATTTCTTTGATATGTTTGTCAGCCTGACTCAGCTGGTAGCACTTTCGTCTTCCGAGTCAGAAGGTTGCATGTTTAAGCCCCATGTCGGGACTTCAAACTCGTACAGTCCAGGCTGACACTCCAATGCAGAGCTGGGGATGTGTTGCAGGGTTAGAGGTTCTGTCCTTCAGCAACCTAGACTGCGAGCTCAAAGTCCCAATGTGGGATTTGAACCCGGAATCTTCTACCTCAGAATACTACAAACCGTACTAAATATGTTACGAAAGCATTCAAGATTCTGCACTCGATAACAATGTGTACAATACAGAGTCAAAACAAATATTGATCAGGCGGACACCGACTCAGTTAGAAAAGGGAAATGACCCAGAATTCAGATTGAAGAATTTTGCGCAGAAAAGATGAATGTGTAGAAGATGCTATGAGAGGCAGTGGAGGCAGAGTTTGTCAGCAAACTCAAGAGGGCATTACATATATATTTCACAAAAAAATTAATTAAGCGTATCAGAAAACATTTTGGGACTGGCCAGATGGTCTTTTGCACGCTGTACTATGTTTCTAAGTTTGCTTGGAAAAAGGCAATACTTGAAAATCTTTTTGATAAACTAAAAGAAGCAGTTTCACGGTGCAGGTTTTTTAGTTTGTTTTAGTCGTGTACGACAGCCTTTCATCTACTATTTCTCTCTCTGTTGGAAAAAAAACATTCGAAAGAATTTCAAGGTTGAATAATAATCATTGCATTTGATTTAGCACCCAGCACATTGTCAAGACGTGACAAAGCGATTCACAGAAGTTACTGTGAAGTGCGGTGACTGTGACTTTGTACGCAAACATGGCAACTAATTTGTGCACAGCAATGTCCCACAAACAGCCATGAAGGGAATGACCAATTATGAGGTGGGAATGGGGGGGGGATTGTTGGCCAAAACACCAGGAGAAACTCCCTTCTCTTTCAGAATCATGACAGACATGACCTCAGTTTAATGTCTCAACCGAAGGACTGCAATAAAAGCTAAAGTGCCGGAAATATACAACAGGCCAATCAGCATTTGGGCAAGATGATTTAACTTCCCAGGTAAGATCCTTCATGCCACACTGTCGACTGCATATTTTTCTGTCCTGTGTAGTCTTTGTTATAAAAGTTGCCCGACTAACCTTTTCACATCGACTGAGATCAACAGCCCCGGACAGCTTGTTGTGAGATGCCATCAGCTCCTCCAGGCACGGCAACTCATTCACTGCCTGAACAAAGAGATGGCACACTTTTTATTGTTCTCAAGTTTCCATTCATTGTAGCTTCGCATAAACATCAGGGCAGCTCATGCTATTGGGTTATACTCCACCATTTGACGGATTATCTCTTCCTTCCATCTTGATTCCATCAACGTCAACATTGGAACGGCTATCATTCTCAATAGGAACACGTCTAACGAAAGGGAGCGACTCTCGCTTTAAACCCAGTAGCTATTGTGAAAAAGGGACCAGAGTCGTTTGGCGGCGAGAGGGCAGCGAGGGAGGGAATCAAGTTACCTGCACAATGGCTATATTGATCGGATTTGATTGATTCCGTACAAATTCACTGCAGCAAAAACATGACAGTACTTTTCCAACCGGACAGGAATCGTGGCAGCGGCGCCTCCCGGTGTCGGAACAATGTTGTAACAATTCGAGAGAAAAATGTGAACTTTATCACAACCGTAAGGTTTCTTTTTTCCCCCCCCACGTTTATTGACACCCCTAACCTGGCTGTGATCCGTCTTTCTTGTTCAAAATTTCCCAAACTCTCCACTTGCACCTTTCAGCAATTTCCTTAAGACCATAATCCTTAAACATTTGGGTGAAGAGCCAAGCGGGAAGTTTATAGCAGCGGGGAAAAAAAAGCTTCTTAGCACCACTCTGGCAAGCCCCCGTTCCTTACAGCAGGTCAGGCAGCATCTACGGAAAGAGGAAAGTGAGTTAATTTTTTCGGGTCGATGGCCTTTTCTCCATAGATGCCGCCTGACCTGCTGAGTGTTCCTAGCGACCTGTTTTTATTTCAGTATTTTGCCTTTGGCCAATCCTTACAGCGATGTCTGTCAGCTGGTTGTGGCTGATATCCAGATAAGTCAGTTTGGAGAGCCCTGAAAATTCCCGCGGTTCCACACGGACCAGCTGGTTACAGTCCAGTCGCAATCGCTGCAGATTTCGGAGTTTAAGCAGACCCTTTCCTGAAAGAAAGTAAGGAACAGTTAATAACTATCACCTTACATTTGATCTTATATTTGTGGTTAGAGCAATGGCCTTGCAAGCGAGAGGACCCAAGCTTGATTCCTGGGCAGGGCGAAACGTTGGGCAAGTTTCCTTACTCCACACATCTCTGATCACCTAGCAGCAAGTAGGAACCCAGTTGTTAGTCGATTCACGGATTGCTTTTCCGAGGATAATAACCCTTTCAAAATGAAAATAAAAAATAATTTGTTCACTCAATCCACGGCTGTTTGTGTGGACGCTGCTGTGCACAATTGGCTGCTGCGTTTCGCCCACAAAATATACAGTCAATTCACTTCACAGTATATTCTGTGAAACGCCTTGAAACATCTCAAAGACATAATAAGGCGCTATTACAAATGCAAGGATTATTATTATACCAATTCATAGAATTACAGTTTGCAGCAGAAAAACGTAGAGTGAGGATGTGTGGATGAGTTTATTAATATATTGTTTTAGCATTGGAGATAGTGATGCAGAATTCTTGTTTGTTCTGCAGCAGTGGGATTGGTAGGTTAGATTCACTTTTCTCATTTACGCTTTTTTGATCAGTTTGTGCAATTTCATTTCCCACTCTTAAAACAGTTTAGTAAGACTCACTTACGCAGTCGTGAGATGCAATTATACTGCAACTGGAGGTTTTGGAGCTCTTGCAACCTATAATTAAAAGATAAATTATTACGTGATAACAATTAACAATCTCCAGTCCCACACATACACAATAAATAGCTCAAATTATTTACAAATATTTTTTTTAAAAATTGGTCAATTCATTCCACGACTGTTTGTGGGGACGCTGCTGTGCACTATTGGCTGCTTCGTTTCGCCCACAAAATATACAGTTAATTCACTTTACAGTATATTCTGTGAAGTGCTTTGAGACGTTTCAGACGTGATAAGGCACTGTATCAAATACAAGGATTATTATTATTATTACTTCACTGTACCAATTTATTCCCCTATACCAATTGCCTCTATATGAACTCTGCCACAGAGTTAGGCATATATAAAATGCACTACATCAAATGCAAGGATTATTAATATTTATTATTATTAGTGGCTCACCTGTCTAGATTCTTGATTTCCCTGATCTTGTTATCATAGAGTTTGAGCTCTGTAATTCCACAATTATTCTCTAAACTCTCAATTTCTTCTATGAAATTACACGAGAAATCCAAAGTGTTCAATCCAGATAGCTGTAGCAAAATAAATTCCAGGTTTTTCAAATGTACTTCAACCCTTTCACGAGACAGAAAATGGATTTGTTGTCTTAGATCACTTTACAGTGTATCCTGTCAAGCGCTTTGAGTCGTCTCAAAGATGTGATAAGGTGCTATATTAAACGCAAGGATTATTATTATTATCAGTAATTGCTTCAGGTCTCCACTAAAGTAAGAAAGCACGTCAGATATGTGTAGGTCTACAGCCAATAGTAGATGTCCACAAACACTTACCACATCGCTGAATTAATCCACCTTCAGCCTGACTATACAAAAGTAATAAACATTACATAGCAAACACTGAGGTAGAGGTGGGTTGGGAGGGGGCACAGGAGGGAAAAGGGTTAAGCAAACAGGCAAAACTGTATTTGCTTCCAAATGCACAGGGAATACTGATCTTTAATAGTTTTCTTCCCTGGGATTAGCAGGTCAATTAACTTCTTTCCTAGTCGATACTTTCCCACTATTTCTGCAAACCAGACTGATATCTGAAGTGTTTTTAGTGTGGATCTAATACTTAGCAAAGTTAACAAGAGTAATTGTTACAATAATAATTGAATAAATTGACCATGCATGTCCAACCTGGGACAAGGGCTGACCTGGGAAGCAATCTGAATCTCTCAAAGTACTCAAAAAATACAAGCTTTTCCGACGACTCAGAAACAGTTTCACCCAGTCACTTATTCAATTAAAGTAGCTTTAGGCAAAATACTGTTATTGAATGGCAAGCACGTACTCGCTTGAGCTTCTGTATCTTCTTCGTTCCTTTTCCATGCAATTCAATGGTATTGTCATTTAAACAGTCCGGTTCTGGAGCCTTCAGAAAACAAAAATCTAGTTAAAATACGTTCAAAATTATCTACACAGTATAGTAGCGACGAATGGTCAGGCAGAAAGTAACTCCCAAGTTGCATTTAATACTCCTCCGATACTGAGTTTTCAACATTAAATGTGAAGATTTAAATACTAAAATAAGACCAAGCTCTGAAGTGAATGTTTCCCACTTATTAAGAGGAGTTAGTACTGCTCAGCGGTGACCATTATCACCAAAGGTCTGACAATGCTGTTCATTCTTATCGCTGCAATCGAAGGCAACCATTAAGTGCGGTACACAGTAAAACTCGCAGAGGTCATATCAGTCAGGATATTAACATTTAATATGACTTGCGCTTTGAGGCATTTCGGCGCTATGCAGGCGCGCGCGCGCCATCAATTGCAAGGATTAATATTATTGCTGTTATCATCATCATTATTAATGTCCTGCGGTCATTTGAGTTCATGGAGGGGAGGGGGAGGGGGAAAGAATTACAGGTGGAAATATTATAGGGTAATACCAGGTCCTTCGGGGCAGCCTTGTGATATGCAGCGATGTCCTGAACACAGGCGGAATGTTTCTCTCCGGAATGGATTGAGGTGTTGGAGCGACTGCCACGAGCTCTTCTCATTGTGGCGCGGGGCAGCCCCCTGGGGAAATGAATCAAAGTGTGTTGTTATTATTATTATTATTATTATTATTATTATGCATAATAATATTGCTACCACTGTTGTTATTGTGACTGTTATTGTTCACTAATATTAACGGCACTATTCATTCTAGTATTGCTGTTGTGGTTCAGATTACATTATCGAAGGCATTAATGTCATTGTTGTTATTAAGATTATGATAGCGCCACTTGTCTCGTTATTATTGTTATGATTATTAATATTTTTTATTGTTATTGTTGTATTATTAATATTGATATTATTATTAATATTATTGTTATTATTGCTAACATTATTATGGTTGTTGTTATCAGTGTTATTGATATTATTGATATTATTAACATTATTATTGTTGTTGCTGTTATTGTATTATTGTTATGGTTATTATTGTTGTCATTAATATTATTGGCGTTATTAATATTATTGTTGTTATTACTTATTATTGTTATTATTATTTGTTATTGTTATTATTTGTTATTTGTTATTGTTGTTATTTGTTATTGTTGTTATTTGTTATTGTTGTTATTTGTTATTGTTGTTATTTGTTATTGTTGTTATCTGTTATTGTTGTTATCTGTTATTGTTGTTGTTATTGTATTACGGTGTCTGTGGGGAATTCGCACTGAGTTTAGCATCGGGAAAGCTTCAGACCTGCTGCTGCTGCCCGACCCCCCGACACCCGACACCCCGGGCCCCGGCCCCGACACCCCGGGCCCCGACACCCGACACCCCGGGCCCCGACACCCCGACACCCGACACCCCGACACCCCGGCCCCGCCCCCGCGGGCCCCGACACCCCGGGCCCCGGCCTTATCCTACCCGAGAGGCCGCGCAGGGAGCCCCGCGCCAGGAGCCATGGCGGCCCGGGGAGGGTGGGATGGTGTCTCTTCTCTTAACTGGCCTGACCCCGGCCCCGCGGGCCCCGACACCCCAGGTCCCGGCCCCGCCGTCCCCGACACCCCAGGCCCCGGCTCCGGCTCCGGCCAGAGGGGAAGCGCCGCTACAGACAGCCCGAGGCCGCCGGCGTTACTAGGCCGTTGGCGGAGGCGTTGCTCAGGGCCGTTGCTAAGGTTTTCTGGAGGCGTTGCTAAGGGCCGTTGCTAGGGTTTGTGGACCCGTTGCTAAGGGCCGTTGCTAGGGTTTCTGGAGGGGCTGCTGGGGTTTTCTGGAGGCGTTGCTAAGGGCCGTTGCTAGGGTTTCTGGAGACGTGGCTAAGGGCCGTTGCTAGGGTTTCTGGAGGCGTCGCTAAGGGCCGTTGCTAGGGTTTCTGGAGACGTCGCTAAGGGCCGTTGCTAGGGTTTGTGGACCCGTTGCTAAGGGCCGTTGCTAGGGTTTCTGGAGGCGTCGCTAAGGGCCGTTGCTAGGGTTTCTGGAGGCGTCGCTAAGGGCCGTTGCTAGGGTTTCTGGAGGCGTCACTAAGGGCCGTTGCTAGGGTTTCTGGAGGCGTCGCTAAGGGCCGTTGCTAGGGTTTCTGGAGGCGTCGCTAAGGGCCGTTGCTAGGGTTTCTGGAGGCGTCGCTAAGGGCCGTTGCTAGGGCTACTTAGCGGCGCTGCTCAGGGCCGTTCGGCGGGAGTTGGTGCCGAGGCCCCCAGGACAGAAGGCAAAACATTTCTCCCCCAATCTCCTCCGAACGCAAGTTACATTTTTTTTTGAGCCTAATCGAGTGGCGACTGGGAGAATCCTCCCGGGACCTTCCTCGCCCGCAAGGCGCACAGTCACCACACTCGACAGCGTGTCCTGTGAAGCGCTTTGAGACGTCTCGGAGACGTGGCGAGGCGCCGGGTCAAACGCCAGGATCGCTATTATTATTATTACTACTACTACTACGAGACGTTACGCTGAGCTCCCGTCTGCCTGTTCGGGTTGAACGTTAAAGATCCCGCGGCACCATTACAAGAGAGAAGGGAGCCTCGCTCTCCGGTTGTCCTGGTCAACCATCTCCCCACCCACCACCCACCCCGTAAAATGTGGTCACTCCCTCCAGCACGGTCGGCCGGAGATGAAAGTCTTCGGCTGTGATTCGCAGGCAGGTCTATCGGGGGCAAAAGGTGGGGAGGTGAGCGAAGCTTTGATGCTCTGATGGAAGGATGGGGCAGAATGGGCATTCTGGAAATTCGAATGACCCAAAGGGCCCTCCTCAGCCAAACGTTTCTTGTCGTCTAGCGATCTTGAATATGTAATGGTCATCCGCCCGACCGGCCCCGCCATCGGCGGTCGGGCCTTCAGCCTCTCTGCCCCCACCCTTTGGAACATCCATCCCACAGTCCCTGCGCCTCGTTCCACCTGCACCTTGGGAAGTCCTCCCGACGTGAAAGGCCCCGTACAAATGTAATGTTTTTTTTATTGCATTGTGTTCCTGAATTGTGAATTAAATTCCGCTGTTGTAATGCTCCATTCCCCCCACAGGGCCATGCTAACGTGTTTACAACAGCAGAGGTTCAGCTCGGAAAGTCAGCTGAAGCGATTTTACCGAATGTTTCATCGCCAGCGTTGGTAAACAACCATCGGAGCAGCTCTTCCGATGGCTCTGTTGGTAAATCGCCGCGCAATCGGAAACTGAGCTGTACTGTACTATATTGACCAGGAAGTTACCAGGTTTAATGCTGACGTGTGTACGATAACAATAATCCTTGCATTGGATGTAGAGCCCCATCACGTCTTCAAGACGTCTCCAAGCGCTTCACGGAATATACTGTAAAGTGAATTGACTATGTTTTGTGGGTGAATGATTCAGCTCAGCTGGTCTGTCATTAACAGTCCCTTGGAGGAGAGCAAGCCTGCGGAGGAGGAAGGAGAGAGACTATTTTTAGAAAGCAATGTGACCTTCTTAAACATTCCTCAGTGACATTACAATACTATTATACTGTCCTATTTATAAACTGCAATTTCCTAATAATACTTTTTATATACATAGTATTTAAAGAACTTGCAAGATCCAAAACACATCTTCTGGTGAATTGTGTTTAACACACGAGGAAAAAATAATAATTGCCCTTCACTGAATCCAGACATAATTGAAGCTAACATCCAAACACAATAAGAAGGGAACAATTCTATAATTGGGTGAGCACAATCACAAATTTTATTCACGATGGATTTTGCAACAAATATGTATCTTGAGGGTTCAATGATGGATTGGTACCCTTATATAAATATTTATATCTGCCAAAAACTAGTAAATGTGCATTGAAAAAATATTTAAGAATAGGGTTGTGTTTACATGTTGAAAAACATGTTGCAGTATGTTGTGGCAGCTTATCGGGTCTTTCTGTGATGACTGATTTTTTGGAACTGCAAGTGAATAATTGATGCAATAATTAAACCTTAACGTATCAAAGGAAGGAATGAAGGGGAAAAGCAATAGATTGGCTTGAAGTCATTACGAGAAATAGGCTTCCTCATACAATACCTGTTAAATATACAAACACGTCTTTTTTTTAGTAAACTAAGAACTATTCGAGGAACTCCTGATTAAAAATCAGAAATACTGTAGTTTGGCTGAAGGTGACTGACTTAATAACAATACTAAGTCCAAAAAATAGCATATTAAAATCTGAATAATACCAATGCTAAAAGTATAACATTAATATGTTCAATTTGCCTTTGTTCATTATATTAATATATTAACAATTGGCAATACAAACCAATAAATGAACATCAAAGTTATTCAAATAACAAAATTAGCAATAACATACAATGTTACAAAATAATTTTAAAATATTAATCAGCTAAATAACAAGAATATATCTGCAATAATCATTAATTATAAATATGAAACCACTAGTAACAGTAATAATATAACTGTAAATTTGTTGTTGTAATATAACACCAATAATAGTAATTTTAGCAAATACAATAATCATTACATCTTTGCATGTCAAAGCACTTCACAGGATTTACTGCAAGTGCTCCAAGATGCCACCTTGCATGAAGGGCACAATATTACAGTGAATGCAAATTGTTGTTGTTACAAAGTGCAGTGACTATAGTTTGTAGGCAACCAAGGCAGCAAATCTGCACATAGCACAACAACGTTCCAGAAATTGTCTGGAAGTGAATGATCCATTTTATCTGGAGAATTATTGGCAAGGACACACCAGGGTACATCATCATCAATAAGAACCAAATAGAAATATAACTAAGAGTAGCAAGAATGACTCCCACAGTGACTCAACTATTGGAGAGAGGAATGTGAGTTAACGTTTCAGGTCGATAACCTTTCTTTCCTCAGAACTGGGGGATGTTGGAAGGGAGCAGTGTATAAGAACGAACAGAGAAGGGGCTGAGGAAGAAAGACAAAGTGGGGGGTGGGGAAAAAAAGGTGTATTACAGGAGATAATGAGATCAATAAGAGTAAGGAAAATGATAAGGTTAGTAATTAGTATAATGTATAACTAATAGAGCTCATTAATCAATGATCAGACTTTATAGCTAATACTAAATCATTAATCATAATCTGCTCTGTGATTTGGGGTTTTCCCTGTAACTGACTGGGAGTGGGTGTGGGGCTGCACCCCCGCGCTTTGGGACGTCTTTCCGACATGAAAGGCGCTATATAAATGCAATTTGTTGTTGTTTGAGAATAGCAGCTGCGTTATCAATGTGAGGGCTGTGCTGCGAGTGTAACAGCTGCACTTTTGCTGGGGTGGAGTTTACACTGCGAGCGTGGGGTTACACTATAGCTGAGTGTAGGAACTATGCACAACGAGAGTAAGGGTCGCACTAATATCTGGATGCAAGGAGCCGGCGCTCTGAGTGTAGAAGTTGCACAGGCAGTGTCTGAGCTGGGTCCAGGAGCTGCTCTGGCACAACCCGCACAGGGCGCACCCAAAACTGACGTACAGAAGGACGCTCGAGATGTAACCAAAGAGCGTCCTGAAAATGTACGTACGTTAAACATGTGCCCATACGGCGCACATCGGCGCACCTTCCGAAAGCGGCAAGAGCGCCTTACCAGGGTGTGCGCGGGCGGGCGGGCGCGCACATGGATTTGGTGTACACAGGGGCGACTCCCGACTGTGTTAAAGGGAGCGTCCCCCAAAATAACGTGTGCACAACCTATGTGCGGGGGAGGAATGTACCGTAAACAACAGAATGCTTTTTGCATCGGGAGAAAAGGGGGAAAAAAAATTGTAACAGACGATGTCGTGTTTGTTTTGGATTTCTGCTGTACTAAATATTATATTTGTAAATAAATATATTTGTGAATAAATATATATATTTTCAAAATAGAAGTCTGAGCCGGGTCCAAGGATTTGTGTGTGAGCGCAGGGGCTTCAGTTTATAATAACAATAATAATCCTTGTATTTGACACAGCGCCTCATTTCACGTCGTCGAGACGTCTCAAAGCGCTTCACAGGATACACTAAAGTGGATTAACTGTGTGTCTGTTTGTGGGTGAAATGCGGCAGTCGATGGCGCGCGGCAGCCCACAGCGCGCGGCAGCCCCCGGCGAACGGCAGCCCACAGCGCGCGGCAGCCCCCGGCGCGCGGCAGCCCCCAGCGCGTGGCGGTAGCCCCCGGCGAGTGGCGGCAGCCCCCGGCGCGTGGCGGTAGCCCCCGGCGCACGGCAGCCCCCGGCGCGTGGCGGTAGCCCCCGGCGCGTGGCGGTAGCCCCCGGCGCGTGGCGGTAGCCCCCGGCGCGTGGCGGTAGCCCCCGGCGCGTGGCGGTAGCCCCCGGCGCGCGGCAGCCCAACTCTAACCCACAAACAATCGTGGATCGAGTGACCAAATTCTCATTATTTTGGGGAAGGGATTATTACTCCCATATGTTTTTCCTGTGAGAGTAGAGGTGGCATTATATAGCTGGGGAATGGGGGGGGGGGGGGGGGGGGGGGGGAGGGGGGGGGGGGGGGGGGGTGGGGGGGGGGGGGGGGGGGGGGGGGGGGGGGGTGCAAAGGAGTGGGTGCTGTGAGGGTGGGGGGCAGTATATATATAGGTGGGGGAGGCAGGCAGTGGGTGCTGTGAGGGTGGGGGGGCAGTATATATATATATATAGGTGGGGGGGCAGTGTATATATATATATATATAGGTGGGGGGACAATATATATATATATATAGGTGGGGGGGCAGGCAGTGGGTGCTGTGAGGGTGGGGGGGGCAGTATATATATATATATAGGTGGGGGGGCAGTGTATATATATATATATATATATAGGTGGGGGGACAATATATATATATATATAGGTGGGGGGGGCAGGCAGTGGGTGCTGTGAGGGTGGGGGGGGCAGGCAGTGGGTGCTGTGAGGGTGGGGGGCAGTATATATATAGGTGGGGGGGGCAGGCAGTGGGTGCTGTGAGGGTGGGGGGGGCAGTATATATATATAGGGGGGGGGGCAGGCAGTGGGTGCTGTATAGGTGGGGGGGCAGTGTATATATATATATATATATATAGGTGGGGGGGCAGGCAGTGGGTGCTGTGAGGGTGGGGGGGCAGTATATATATATATAGGTGGGGACGGGCGCTGCGCTGTGGGCACTTGACCTGCAGTTGCGGTAACAGACCGGCGGCGGCGCTGTGGTGTCAAGTCAGTCAGTCAGTCGGTGGTGGTGGTGGCGGCGGCGGCGCGCGGGCGGGCGGTTGGTTCGGGGCAGCGACGATAAAAGCAGCGGCGCGAGGCGAGCGCGAGGGCAGTGCAGCGCAGCGCGGAGCGGAGCGGAGGAGCAGCGGCGGCGGAGGCGGAGGAGGAGGAGGCGGAGGAAGACAACGACGACGCCGCCGCCAACCCACCCAACCCACTCCCCCACCTACACCCGGGGCCTTAGGCCGTGCGCCCGCCCGCCACCCGATGAGGGAGGGAGTGGGGGTGAGGCAGGCATGAGGCAGGCCAGCCCGCAGTAACCGCACACCCCGCCCGCCCGCCCGCCCGCCTCACACTAGACTCGTCGTCGTCGTCTTCCTCCTCCTCCCCACCCCCCCCCCCCCCACCCCACCCCCGGCCGCCATCATCATCATCATCATCATCATCACCCATCACCTCAGCCGCCGTTTTTAATCGGGGCGGCGGCTCCTGCTGCAGGAGGAGGAGGAGGAGTGGGGGGACAGCGCGAGAGGTGCCGTGTGTGGTTGGGGGGGGGGGTTCGGGCTCAGGTACCTCAGTACCTCCTCACCCTCCTCACCTCCCTCCCTCATTGTTATCTCCCCCCTCTCTCTCTCTCTCTCGCCCTCTCTCTCTCTCACACACTCTCTCTCTCTTATTCTTCTATATTTTTATTCCGATCTGCCCCCACCCACCCACCACCCACTCCCCTCCCTCCCTCCCTCCCTCACCCCCCCCCCCCACCCACCACCTCCATATATCACCCATCATCTTAATCTCCGGCCGCGGGAGGGAAGATGTTGGCCGGGGCCAAGGACAACCCCTGCCGCAAGTTCCAGGCCAACATCTTCAACAAGAGCAAATGTCAGAACTGCTTCAAGCCCCGGGAGGTGCACTTACTGACGGACGAGGACTTGAACCAGGTCAGAGCCCCCCCACCCCCACCCCCACCCCTGTTAAATTACCGTGTGTTCAGAGAGGGAGAGGGAGGGGAGGGGGTGACAAAGAGCGGGGGCAGGGGGGTGGAGAATTTAAAAGGTATATATATATTGTAATACCTTTTTCTATTTCTCTTCCATTCATCCCTCCCCCCCCCACACACACACACACAATTACCTCCCCCCACACCCAACGCACACATCATTACCCCCCCACCCAACATACACACGCACACATCATTACCTCCCTCCAACATACACAGACACACACATCATTACCCCCTCCAACATACACACACATCATTACCCCCACAGGACACACACAATTACCCCCCCCCCCCCCCAACACACACATCATTACCCCCTCCAACATACACACGCACATCATTACCCCCTCCAACATACACAGACACACACATCATTACCCCCCCCAACACACACATCATTACCCCCAACATACAGACACACCATTACCCCCTCCACACCCACACCCTTCAAAGGGAAGGGCGCTTCATGTCTGGGTTACCCTTGAAATCTTGTCTCCCGGCTTCAGTTCGGGCCCTGGGAGAGAGGGGGAGATGGGAGGAGGTGTGTGTGTGTGTGTGTGGGGGGGGGGTGATACTCCCTGTAGGCCCAAGCCGGTGTTCAGTAGGGAAGGGGCAGCGATCGAAATCAGTCTCCCAAATCGGGGTGTGATTTCCTGCCTTTATCTTACAATTCGGGTTGAAGTTGGGAAGGAAAGGCAGTTTCCTTATTTGCTTCCTCTCTCCCTATCCTTTTGTTTGTGTGTGTGCTTTGGGGGGGTGGGGGGGGGGGGTGTAGAGGTTTCATAAACTGCATTTTAAAAATTACAGTGGATTTTCTTTGTATATGAATGTCTGCGATGTGTTATGCTTCTGATGCGCTGTGTCTGGGTCTTGAAATCTGGGTTTGTGTCCTCTTGATAAAAAGATTTGAGAAGGTATAACAGCTCTTTTTCCCTCCACCTTCTCTCTCTTTATTTCTTGCTCCCTCCTTATTGCAAAATGATTTGAGGGAAGGAGATAAGGGGTAGTGAATCATGTTCCAAATCAAAAGCATGTAATCGTCCCGCTATCCCGAGGAAAGGACTGATATGCTCATTCCTTTGTTCAAAAGATTCTTGAAATTTCCAGAGGGAGTAAATATACTGTACTCATTAGTTTGAGGGAGAAAGCAAACTGCTTGACATTTTTATTAGACAGCAACATTTACTCACAACATGAAATTATAATGTGACCCTTCCCTCCCCCCCCCCCCCATTAATACACATTTTCACCAAATGTTATGTGATGAGAAATGCTTGGGTGCACTTAAATACAATTTTTTAAAAAAGCCCTGTATCCTCAAGCAAGAGCTTCAATTAGATTGGAAGTTTTTTTAAAAAAATATTTCTGTTATGCTGCTTTTATTAATGCCCTGCAACTCGAAGTTTGCAATAGAATCCGTGATATTTTGGCATTTAGGGGAAAATATTATATAAAATCTTAGGTGGTATTACATTTATTTTAGTACTTTATAAAGTAGGATGCCAATTTTGTCTTTACTTATTGTAGTAATTTATAATTTTAGACATAATACTGAGAGTAGAAATAAACCATTAATAGTTCAAGGCCATCAAATGTTTTCGAGTGGTAACAGTTGTTAACTGGTACAGTAAGCATAAAAAAAAACTCTGGACATATCCTAAAATAGCTTCCAATGTATTATTACTGTTAGATGCCATGCCTATATTTGTGAAAATTAAACAAAAGTTGGAATGACTGTCGATTGTTGCAGCAGCTGGAGGAAAATAGGTTTTCTTTCAAATGGAGAGCAGCTGGTGAGAGATTGAAATTTGCAATGTTCTGAATCAGTTTTCTGGTGTACTTGTGTCAAGCGCTCTGGGACGCTACCTTGTGTGAAGGGCATTATATAAATGCAAGTTGTTGGGGTTGGTTTATCTGAAGATTGCTCAGTCGTGGTCTATTTCCAACTGTGCAACAATAGTTGGTGGTATTAAATCAATTTGCTTTGCCGTAAATTCGTTCTGTGAATCTCTTTGAGACATGTCAACGACATGATAAGGCGCTATATCAAATGCAAGGATTATTATAATATTTTTGTTCTGAGCGCTAGGTATGTCTTGTGTAGAAAAGTTTGAAACATTGCTGCTAATTTTAATGTTGACTTTTTTTGTTGCTGACTAAAAATGGTGGTTTTCTTCTTCGGTCTTTGTTTTTTGTAATTTGGTTTGTACTGGCTACAAAACTTCTATGGACCATGAAAGCAAACCCATCAAGCTTTTGAAAGGATTGATTAATTTATGTTTTGCCTGTTTGAAAACTAGAAATGGAGTTTTGTCAAAGGGATTTATTAATGATATGGACAGAGTAAATTTGGGACAACATTTTTTTTATCAGCATTGTTTAGTGCAGCATAATTGCAGCTTTACACTTTTGTTTGTACTCGTAATTCTGTTACCAAATCCAAACAAACAGAAAGAAAATATTTGTAAACTGGGAGAGATTCATTTCCTTTGCAGCATGTTTCAACATTGGAAAAGTTTACAACATTTGCTGTAAGGACTGTTTATACTTTAGTTTTATATGTCAATTTAAAACTTCAAATTTCATGCTTTTAGATTTTATGTAAACAGAATCTGTTTTGTCATATACAATATACAGCACCTTTTTGAATTTTGTTGGGGCAGTGTCATTTTTTCGTTGATTCTATTTTATACATATGATGATTCTGATCAATAGGAATTTCAGATAAAACTACTGTCAGGGCAAAACCTTTTCAGAGCTTGAGGAGGGTGAAGGAAAATAGGATTAAATATCACAATATTTTAGTATAATCTATTGTATTGCACTTCTTGTTAAATAACTATAATCAAATTAAGTCATAATAATACTAATTTGATTCTGTAGAATGTTTGATTTGCTACATCCTCAAATTAATTATTGATTTGAAAGAAAGTTTCCAGCAGCAAAGGATGAAATTGGGCCAGGGAATATTTTTGTGTCAGCTACTTGCTGCTGTTCTAATTAGGGAACTATTTGGGAGAGCTGAATGGATATCCGTGAATAACATAACCTTTCTAATTTTGACTGGGTATGTTAATTCAGCTCTTCTGTGTTGTCGCATTCAAACTTCAAGCCAGTTTATCTGTGTTCTCCATCACTCTTAAGTTGACATTATATATAATATATACACTATTTGCAAAACTGAGATGATGGGGAGAAACTTTTTTTTAACAAAACTGAGACCTTAATTTGTAGCTTTTCATTGTTCCTTTTTTTTTGAAAATGAAGCAATCAATCAAATTTGAGTGCTATTCTACTTAACATCATAAAGATTTTTGAGCCACAGCAAATCATGTTGCTGCAAGGGTGATTTGTCTCTGGAAAGTATTTTTTCTGTTTGAACAATTTAGAATTAGTTACTGATATTCCTTGTACTCATTCTACCCCCTCCTGTTCGATCATTCTTCCAGTCTCTCTTGAGACAGTGACTCATGCTGGGATAAGGGTCCTGTGCTTGTTGGAAGCCTTCAGGTCCTTTTCCCAAATTACCATTCTTCACGTCAGTCTGGTCAGTAACTGTAAGCAATCTATGGGAAAACCTGCATACTTTTGTGTTCCCGTTTTCTGTCACAGAGAGCTGGATAGTATTGCTGACTGAATCTTGTTCCCTTAAGCCCCATACCCCCCCCCCCCTCCCCGGAGAGTCTTCAGGCTAATTATGGTAACTCTTTGGTCCCCTGGTTATAAGCTAACTGGGCAAAAACAAGGGATCTACTAGGTTGATATACCTTGCTACCACATCATGAATGCTGCATGTGTTTCACTGGAAAAGTATTGGCTGTTTACGCACTCTCCTTTATATAATGCCATGAAATGGTTTAATTGAATGAAAAGTCCTTTCCTACATTCTGGAACTTAGCACCTTCTTTCACACAACTTCACACAAAAGTTCTTATCTCTGGGTCAGAAATTTGTGGATTCAAGTTGCATAAAAGTTCATGATTTGGGATATGGACGCACTGCAGTCTTGGATATGCAGCTCTTTGAGTGGGAGATTAAATCTAGGTCCTGTCTGCTTGTTGGATATTTAAGATCTTGGGTTACTATTGTGATGTCGTGGCTAATGTTCTGTCATTCAAATTCCATCAAAAACACAATTCATAATTTATCAAACTGCAGTTACAAGAGAGATTGCTGGCGAATTTACCTACCTAACAGTCACTACATTTGTGTAAAGAACCTTGAAACGTTCTAACATAACAAGGCACCATATTCATTGCAAGTATTAATTGAAAGTTAGATACCCAGTGTTTCTCAGGTGGAGACTCTGGGACGGAAGTAGATGCCTCTTTTTATATAAACAAAATTGATTGTTTTAAAACTTCCCTTTCCAAGGTAGGCTTAGGAAACTATTGCATCTGGTATGAGGTCAGTTGGAATAACCGTCAAAGAATTTCCAGATTAAATTTCTAAATGAACCAAAGGAATTTTTTTTTTCGGGATAGACATAATGGTTTTAGGATTACAGTTTAGTAGTCTGCATCTCTGCCTTATTTTTAGAAAGGGTTTGGCAATGGTTGACAAACACTTTCTGGTTATCCGTAGTGGAAGTTAATTAACCTTAGTGCTCATTTTTGCCTTTAACCATCACATTTAAAATGTGTTAAATTGAACTACCACCAGGCTCCTTTTCCAAACCTAGAGGAAGTAAAGCCATACTGTATTTTCCTATAGTTAGTTATAAAAGCAAAATGAAGCAGCATTTCTCTGTTGCTGATTCTCATTGGAACACTGTACAATGTGTAACATAAGTGGCTCAAAGTAGTGCCTCAAAGGAATTTTATGTTCAGTTATCTTTTGCTTTAAGCTATCTATACCCTAGCTAAGTCTGCTTATTTGGCAGAGCTAACATTACCAAAACCGTGCCTCTTAAATTACCTTATCAATTTACTGGTTTGT